AAAGTTCATTTCGTTCACATGTTTCCTGTGAGCAATCTGGAGTAGGTAAGCCCCGTAGAGCTAAATGCTTCTTCCGATGCAGCGAATGTTGCTGGACCCGAAGTATTATAATTGTAATTTTTCTTGTTTTATTTTGGAAAAACTTTTCGCGATGCCTCGAATCACCCCCGCAAAAAAAAAAAGAAGTCGATGAACGCTCGCACAAATCAAAAATTTGTCTCGTTCGAGCGTAGCAAGTCTAAACAAGAACGATCTGGAGCAAGTCTTGAAACCCAGATGAAATGCAGCAACCGATAACGTGCGAGATGAAAAGTTAAGAGACATCACTAAGTCTCATTCACAATGAATAGGAGGTATGACGCAATAATTGAGAGGAAAAAAAAACGAATGGTCCAAATGTGGCACGTACCCTTGACCCGCGCAAACGAGCGAGTGGGAGGGTAGTACGGAAATATAGCGAAGTTTGCGGCATCGTTGCAACTCATAGCGATACATATATCTGAAGGAACTGTCACGAATCGATTCCGCCATCCCTAGACATCATTAACAACTTTGAGCATTTTTAAATGCAATTTTCATGTGTATAAACTTTTTATTAGAAGCGATTACAAGAGGAATTGTTAATAACAAGTTGAATGTCTCAGTGAGACAATATACCATGTCAAGTGCAAATAGTGCGTCAATGGGCATAGACTGTTGTCTCAATATGGTTCTCTATTCCCGTGCTCATGAAATAAGTTCTGATTGGTTTGGAGAATGGCGTAAACTTTCATTAGTAAAATCCGCGCACATTTGTGCGTGAATATCAGTGTCACTTTGCCCTTTGTGATCTGTGTTCTGGAAGGACTGCACCGAGTTTTTGTACACATATTCCGCTAATTAGGAGTAGGAAAGAAGTCAATATCGAGCATCCCATTGAATAAAAATAAGCAGCTTTGTACGTTTCGTAGATGTCTACCAGATGTCCTGCAAAGTTAAAGCAAATCATACTTTTAGTAAAAAGCTAACATTCAAACAGGGGGTTGCAAGATTATTAGAATGCAAATATCTGAATGTTGGAATCAGCTACCGGTAGCCGTATTTGATCAACATCTACTTGCTACAAAGTAGTAGGAAGAGTTGAGTCCGGATTGTCAAGTCAAAACCTGTTTGGGGAATATCAGAAAACAAAACATTTCGAAAATAGAGACCTAAATAAATCTTAGGCTACTTGAGTGAAAATTTAGAAATATTTTGACCCTAAGCCTTTATGCAGAATATGACTCGGACATGTTGGTACGAAGTAAAACGATCTGATTTGATACATTATATCCACCCGTGCTGCAATGCAATTAACCAACTATGCCTAATCCCATACACCACAATGCAAAGTTAATAAAAAATAAACTTACCCGCAAGAGGCGCACTTATGGCGGCTGCCACTCCGCCTGTTAGCAAAATCGGGCCAATGAATTTCACTACATTTTCTATTCCAAAGAGTGCTGGAATCGCTGTCGCATTCGTGGTAACAAACATTCCGAACAGACAACCATAACATATTGCAAAAATTGAAAGACTTTCGAAACCGGTCGCAAAAAGTACCATTGCACATATTCCAGCTTTAGCCAAGAAAATAAATCCTATTATGAATAAAATTTTTCCTTCCATGTTTTGATAACAAGAAAGCAAAAACCCGCTAAGTGGTCTGCATATCGCATCTCCGATTGCTGTCATGAACAGGAGTAACACAGCTTGTTCATTAGTACATCCCAAATCTTTTGCGAACGGGACAATAAAAATGATCGGGTGATAGCCACAAAGTCCTATTCCAAATTCCGCACATGCAAGAAGCATGAGGAGCCAATAGTCATTTAACAATTTCAACACTCGGGCACCTTTTGACTTGTTTACATCCACTACATTTTGCTCTTCCGCTTGTTGAATGTAATCCAGAACTTCCAATGAAACAGTCATTGCCTGGATTTCATCGAGATTTGTAGCTTTATCAGCATATTGTAAATTTTTATATTTTGGCATCTGCTTTGCTGTGACCGTACTAATAGGTCTTACCAGAGACGCAAACACACAAATATTCAATTCAATGCCGGCGAAAACTATTAGAGCACCTCTCCATCCATACGTATAAATAAGATACTGCGCAAGAATGGGAATGAGCATCGAACCTACTGAACTTCCAGTAGCTGCGATTCCGTTAGCAATTCCTCTCCATCGACAGAAATATATGTTTATTTGGGCCATTATGGAGGAGTATGACCAACTGAATCCAATTCCTAAACCAAAATATAAGTTTTAGTGCATTTCATGACAAAACTGAAGACAATAAAATGTAATAATGTAATATTCCTTTCGCGAAAAAGGACATTTCCAATTTTTTTACTCTATACTAGATTGAATTATTTATTGGTGTCATAGAACTTTGTAGAAAACATACAACATTACATAATATGTTATACACGAGGTAGGCTACTGGTGGGGTCTTAGGTATGGGGCAAATAATTGGAGACCCCGAAGAATGTGCACCAAGATGGCGCACAACCTGAACACAGTATGTGTACCCGGTTAGAGTTCAGGTTGTGCGCCATCTTGGTGCACATACTCCGGTAGCACCAAATATTTTAACAAGATAACATCGGAATTTTTTTTACCCGTCAGTGTAGGTGAGCAATATTTTTGGCCCCTAGCCCGAAACCTTGCTCACCACCAATTTATAGACTATCATCAATGCATGCCACATAATGTTATTATCAAAGTCAGTCTAGTATCGGGACCACGAAAATACGCTACCGGTGCAATTTTATTATTTACGCGGTAGGAATATCGTAGTTATCTACCCCAAAATATGCCAACGCCCAAGTAAGCGGTCCATATGCCACTGCCAAATCCTGTCAGCAGAAGTCCAAGACAACACAGAACACCAGATGTCAGTAAAACTTTTCTGCCTCCAAACTTTCTCATCAATATACCTGCGATGGGAGCTGAAAGCAGAAAAATATTTGTGAATATGTCCTGAAGTTAGCAATTTGTCATTTATAAAGCCTATTTGAAATCTTTTATAAGATGTAAAAACCAGACATTATAAGTAGGATTAGATTCAAATTTGAAATTGTAAAAATATTTGATCGATTTAATATAATTCCGCCGTATATCCGCTTGCTAACGAAACTTATATGCATTTAACTCCAAAGCATTCGTTTCTAATATTCCGGTTTCCGGATATAGTCAACTTGTCAGAATTCAAGTCCTAAGTGGCCTACTGGTCTATCACTGCATAAATTAATATGGTACTCCTGAAGTATGCGCACCAAGATGTCGCATAACCTGAACCTTAACCTGGTACACAACCTGAGTTCAGGTTGTGCGCCATCTTGGTGCGCATACTTCAGGAGGTTCATAAACATGTATAGATAGCTCTTGACACGTCAAGCTGGTATGAAACTATGGCGATGTCTCTACTTTTTAGAGGTTTTGCGGTTTTCTGGGAAAATTAGAGAACTTCAATTTTAAAAACATTCTCCTCATAACACATCAAGCCCAAAGATTATTCAAACCTGCTAGTCCCATCATCGCGGCGGCCATTGAAGTTATTAATGAGGTCTGACTGTTTGTTGCATCGTACGATTCCATAAAATCATTGTAAAAAAGTCCCAAGCTTCGAATCCATGCAATCCCCATCCATTGGAGGAAGAAGGCAGAGACGAGGACAACCCAAGCCCAGCCCCCATCTGGGGAATTGTGATATAAGACCTTTCCCCCCACTGTCCTTACAATTAACGTCATATTTTGGCTTTACAGGACTGACTGACTGACAAAATGAATATGCACGTACATATGAAGACCTATACTAAGCGATTGCTTGCATCCCTTTAAATCGGACCGGTGACGAAAGCTTGTTTAATGATTAACTCCCGCTACTTTTATATATATTTTGTTCATTGACTAATTATGATCAATTGATTCATTCATTCGTATATTGCTGGAAATATAAAATAAAATGGATAATTCACTCGGATTTCGCAGTAATTTATTTGTACTTTTCAAATGAAAAATGACTCAGAACAAAGGCTGTTTCTCGACTTTTGTTCGTTGTGGTAAAAAAATAATTGGCAGTGTGGAGGCGGATTGTTGTTTTTCAAGTAGAATATACTGCAATTTTATACTATATCAATTTAGTTGCTTTGACAAATTACACACAGTTAGTATTTGATGATGCTGCTAGAAAATCTCGTTAAAGCTCGTTCCATCATTCACTGTTCAGAGTTGTCAAACGCATTCTTGCATAATTTTGATTCGTCAGTGATACCAAACTGTTTGCTCTGTATGTTTAAAGTTTTGAATTTACGTTGGGTTTCAATCTCACTTGTGAAATACAAATTTTTATTCGGATGTGATATATTTTCCGCTTTTACGAACGTTGGTGAAATGAGGAATATACTTATGGTTGACAGTGAGCCAGCACACCAATTTTTAAAGTACTGAAATAAATAAATGAAATACACATAAAATTATGAATAAATAACGCTTAATCAATTGAACTAATATTTCTTACTGAATATCATGCTGTAATTGGACTTGGGAATCAAAAATTTTCTATGTTACTCAGTTAATCTATGTAGGCTACGTTACTCCGCTTTCCAGAGAAGGATATCTCTGTACATATTAACTCTCTTCTTGCCTATGAAATATATTGAATCAATAATCTCACAAATTCTAAGTTACATGAACGTCAGTCGCTGTAGAGAAGGTCAACAGGAAATACTTTAATGAGCAAGGATACGACAACGCGCAAACACACGACTTCAATGATGTGTATCGTTTTCAATAACTGATTGATTCAATTTCATAGGTGCGTGTTTACTTTTTGTTCGTTATATAAAAGGAGGACGGAACCGCCGAATCGTCACTGAATCAACACTATTACAATTTCTCTTCCCGGGGGCATATTGTATTTGGTTTTTCTTAACTTTCACACTGAGTAATTTTAGCAATACTAAATCAGTACGAGATTTCAATTTTATCTTAAATCAAATGGGAAACTGAGAATGACTCTTAATCGTGTGGCAAACTACGATACATCGGTACGTCATCAAAGCAAAAGTATGTGTAGATTCGTTTTCAGAATAATAGAGGATACCCGAATAACTCAGAGTCATATTTGTATTTTTTAACCAATAATCCTCTTAAATCTGGTATTTCTTTGAAATATGTCTCAAGTTTTTCATCGTCGGTTCGTTTCTGAGGGGGATAATTTTGAGGAAATGTCATGTTGCTCATTCCAATGGTATTCATGATGAAAGGCATGTCGTCAGAAATTGTTTCCAGCTTAGCAATGAAATCGTATTTTACTGCACATGGCGAACATAGCCTATAGAAAAGTTGCCAGTGTTCATTGTTGTCATCTGTTGAACTGACGTGAGTGGCAAATTCTTTAAAACTCAACAACGGTGAGGATTTGTCTGTCGGAATACTTGAATTTGAATATTTCTCGTGCAATTTTTTTGCCATTCTCTTGAAAAATTCGTTTTTGGAATTTTCAAATTTGTTACGATACGCTGAAAGCATTCGATGTAGGGGTTCTCTGACCATGATGACTTTATAATAAGTATTCAGTCGATGCTTAATTTCTTTAACGTCACTCAAAGTTTGCAGATGCAAATTGAGATTTGCAATATCATGGATATCTCCGGATAACTCAGTGGCATCTGATGCATTCACAAGACCTTCTGCGACAAGTAATACCTTCTTGAAATTTGTGCAACCAACTTTGGGGATCAGGCAAGCCAGTAACTGTATTAAAAGTAAATGTTAGTTTTTCCTGTTTGATATTCTTTTATAGCAGCCGCTCGCTAAATTTGGGACGATTGTCTAAATGTCAACACGTTATTCGGGCAGATAAGTGAATGCAATCGCAATGAACTGTTTAATGTGTATATATACTTCGATAATCAGAAAAATAAGGCTGGTTCATTCCATCGTGAATCCGTGAAAGAAGTTGCTTTCAATGCGTAGTTTTTGTTGCTAAACCAACGTCCAATAAATATCTTTTACAATATTGTATTTGGTATGGGCTTATATTGATGGATCAAAAAGGATTCCAGAATCATTGCAGATCAACTTTGGACAAGAATGCAAACATCGCTACTCTCTCTGAATTAATTTTATGAATCATATATTGAATTAATGCAAGATGATGTACTATTTTTCAATCAACCCTCGGAGCCCCTATAGTAGAGCCGTTTCGAAAAGAAATGTTTCTTGGGAAATGTATGTGTAAGTTACACAAATTTACTCAGCGTCTCGAAACTGATTTAGATCATTTACCTTGTATTTGTCTGAAAAGTACAATTTCGTTTTACTGATGAACTTCATGAAACCTTTGTCATCTTTTGGAATGATTTTATTTAATTTCAATTTCCGACAGGACTTCTCTAAAGTTTGGAATCTTAGTTTTTGCTCTTCGACAACCGAATTTGGAGGGAAATCTAAAAAGAATAGGATAATATGGTATTTGCTTATTGTTGTCCTTCGAACTTAAAGATATATATGATATAGGAGTATAGGGTTTCAATCAATTTATCTATTTATTCCATATTGACAAAAGCGCTTCGATAAAATATAAAAAGATATTCTGTCAGTGTTCATGCGAATTTCTTTTTTCAAAAATACATTGAAAACTTTCATATACTCTTAGGGGATTAGCAGATTATCCACCGCATGTATGTAAAGTTCGATTTCCGCGTCATTAGATTGACACGCGTTATGGAATGTGACTCCAATTTGAATTCCTTCAGACGTTAATGAGCACAACACTGAGCTAGGGGAAATAAATCATGAAAGAAATGAATTAGAGCAACGACCTTGTTTCGGGCAAATAACATGTACTATTAACAATACGCGGTGAAAATATTGAAATACACAGTAACCTCCCCCAATGTACTCGCTACAATATCAAACTTATGAATCACAGTTTTGAACTAATTAGGTAATAAACATCTACAGCAGTGGTTCCCAACCAGGGTGCCGCGGCACATTAGTGTGTCGCAAAAATATTTTGGTGTGCCGCGAAGAGATTTCATTTTTGAATTTATTTCAACTGATTCCATTCTCTTGAATTCCACAAGAATTACCCCACGGCTCTTGCTAACAAACAGAAACGACAAATTTGAGGAGTCGTATTTCAGGTATTTGGGTATTGTTTTAATTCTAAGTTTTGCATGATGAGCGCCAACACCGTTTCGTAAAATTAAAAATGTCAAATAAGGTAACAAATTATTGTGCGAAATTTTTCCCAAATTTAACCAAGGAATTATTATTTGACTAGTAGAATTGTCATTATTGTCGATTTATGGAATTATTATTCATACTCAAAATAACATTCAGGATTCACGCAATGACTTTGCAGGGTTTTTATTCACTATTTAATACGAACATGAAAAACAGACACAATAGGAACGTAAATCATAAGAAGGTCAACTATCGTCTTTATAAATATCCGCATTCTGACGTCAGAAATGATAATATTGTTAGCTTGAAATTGGGACAGTTAATTTACAATCGGTGGGGAGAAAGATCAAAACGGCGTAAAAGATAAAAATCAGAATAAAATCCCGAATTCAACCTTTATTAGCCAACCGTCTTTAACATATGTCGCCCATATGAACGCATAGTTCTCCCAGGAATATAAAACCAAACGTTGCGTAAAAAGTAGTACTTGTAAAAAAGAGAGAACGGGCGGAAATAACACACCAACATTAGAATGCCTAGCATTCCGTTGTATGTGTATTGAAAATACCCGATATTCGACAATTCGTTAAAAGTATTCTAATTATTCGATTTGATAAAAATATTCTATTTTGCTCACCCTTGCGATCGGCAATCATGCCAGTAATCTGGCATGGCAACATAAACACTGATGCACTATTTCACGAAAGCGTGGTAGAATTGACGACTATTACATATCTCGAACACAGAAACGGTAATTTTTCAGATAGCTTCTGCGGTCTGAAAAGTCGAATAAGCCTATCGACATAATAAATGCTACGATCTTTCTCATTAAATTAAGCTCGAGCCTTGCACGAAATTCATAACGTGAAAAGATGATCGATGAAAATAATTTATAACAACTTTAAACCTATTCAGTGTTTTTAGCGATAATAAACAATTGTTGTAGTGAAATACGGTTTGTTTGTCTCTTTCATATCTCTCGCAAGTGCCGACAATAACACTATTGAATGCTTTTGGCAATGAAGAAACATATAGAATTGTAACAAAAATGAAATAGGTTGTGCGAGATTGGAATACTTGTGATAATAATGAGGCGTAACGTGGAACGGGGAAGGACGAGAAAAACCAAAGCGTATTAGCGTCACGTATTACCCGTGCGGCCACGCATCTTTTACAATAATGGAATAATTACTATTAACCATCCATTTTAAATACAGGGTATGTTGTATTAACAAGTATAGATTTTCCCTCATCTGATCTTCTATGTTTTTTTTATTATTTTATAGCTAAATGGCTTCACGTGTATAGGATACGTTCCTATTTTGTGATATATGTGCCGCGAAAATTTAAATAGCTCAATAGTGTGCCGCGAAATAAAAAAGGTTGCGAACCGCTGATCTACAGAGTAGACTGACAAGAAGTTCCCATCTTTAGAAATTTGAATTCTCGCAACTGACAACTCTGGGTCGACATTAAAACGTTTTTTTTTTTTTTGAATCGTTTATTAATTTATAATCTAATATTGTGCATCCAAAATACCTGATTCTGAAAGTGATGATTTCTTGAAATACTGTATCTTTGTGTAGAATTCATGCTGTCAGAAACATGAGATATTCGAATTTATTACTCTTGCTAATTTGAATATCGTCACATTTATAAATTGCCAATGTCACTTTTAGTCGATTTGGAAAATTTGGTATCGCTGGATTTGTTGTACAAGGACGTGAGATATTCGAATTTATTACTGTTATCTGTTTCAAATATTATTCATCTAGGTGCATTACTAAACTCGGTTGATTGTTGGCGTATATATCATTTGTGTTGCTGTCCTATCTTTAATAATATGTCCGTTCGATAAAGATTATTGATGCGCATTGCGCTTGAAAGGAGCAAAATTTCGTTCAAAGTCAGTTTGCTTCTTTTCAAACGAACGAAGCATAAGCCACCGAATATAAGTGAATACATTGTATCGAAATATACCTTCTGTGATAAGTCAACGAGGCGATAATGCGCCTTTCTATCTAAAAGTGGCACCGAGTAAAGTCACACACAACCATTTATGATGATCACTTTTTATTCATACACTGAAATTCAAATGCCTTGAATCGTTATAATTATACATCATTATTTTGACATTCCCGCAGTGCTGGTGATTTTATTTTCCAACTCCATCGAAACATAGTTATTTAAACATTTGTAATTTCATAAGTATACAGGGTGTCTCAAAAGAAATATATACACTTTTAAATTTGATTTCCTCTTTAGGTACTCATCATAGAGCTTTCATTTTTTCAGAAAACATAATATGAATAAATAGTAAAATTTAGATATTGTTCGCATTTTTCATCAATCCACAGAATGTAAAAGAGATTAGCTCAAGAAATGAGGTGCAAAATTGCTGTTTGACAGAAGCATATAAGTCAGTGCGGCAAACACAGCGTCTCTTACTCTCTTTAACAGAGAATTTGAAATTAATTCGGCTCCTACACGGCGAACAATTTATGGAAACTGGATCTGTAGTTGATGTAAATATATCAGAAAGACCAAGGAGCGGACGCTCTGAGAAAAACATTTAGCGCCGAATTAATTCCAAATTTTCTGTTAAAGAGGTGCTGAGTTTGTCATACTTATTTATATGCTTCTTGCCAAACAGCAAGTTTGCACCTCATTTCTTGGGTTAATCTCCTGGCCATTCTGTGAGTTGTTGAAAAATGCAAACAATACCCAAATATTACTACTCATAAGTTTCCTGAAGAAATGAACGCTCTATGATCAGTACCTAAGAAAAAAATCAAAATTGAAAGTGTATATATTTCTTTTGAGACACCCTGTATTGAAGTAAGATCATTGGGCCATGATTGCCCATCCATGTGGAAAACATTCTTAAGGTAAGACTGAAAGTAGGGAGGCGGGGCAATATTCAGAATTATATTTATTCTTACATAATAACGTATTAATTCATACAGCGCACAAATAGTGGTTTCTAATATGTCAGCAAAAAATTTAGTGAAGCAAATTCAATTCGATGTCACGAAAGCTTTTATCAAACTAAATTACAGTAAATGAAGCATGATCGTAACATTTAAAACATATCACATATAGTTCGGAAGAATTCATAGTATCTCAGTATCTTGTTAACTCGCAGACACTCCTTCCTATACTCCATTACATATTAGCACCAATTAAAAACTGTCAACTCCACATATATATATATATGAAAATCAGGGATACCAGATAATGATACTCAACGTTATTAAAAGAGCCAATTTCTTTATAGCAATGACCTGATTATCTAGTTTACCTGTAATATATTCGAGCTTAGTAATCCATACAATAAGATGCAAATTGCTGATGTGGCAATTGTAATAGCCAGATATATTCTTGCCATTCTTCATCAGTCGCACTTCAAAGCTGTTTGACATTATACAAGAACTGACGATTACGCCTCTCTTTTCTATTTTAATACATTTTCATTGAAGCGTTATAATGATTGTATATAGATAATCCGGACACAATAAATAAATATAAAATAAATTTCTGTGAATAAGCTTTAAGTTTACCTTTTCTGCATTTCTAATTCTATTTTTTTTTTTTTGCAAAATTATGACTCTAGTAAATAAGTAATTATTTGAATTTTGAAATGACGTCGATTTTTAACATGATATAGAGAAGACGCATGAATGTTATTTTTCCTTAAAATATAACAACATCTGCCTACTAAATAATTATTAAAGAGAAAAGATACATGTACAGAACCTTACTGGCCTAAGATACAGTTGGGCAACATGTGCCATTCATAAATTTAATAACAACAGTTTGAGACTGTTACGTTATAATAGGACAATGTGAACGAAATGCCGAATACATTCTGGTAAAACTCTAGCACGATATATACTCTCTTAAAATCTCTTTTTGTTGGCTAATGTCCAAATGAGCCTCGTTCATTAGGTCAAATGCAACTTGCTTCTTCGATGCCGTTGAACTGAGCTTCAAATAACGCTAATATAACATTAATCTCTGAGCCACATGCGTTTTTAGGATTCTAAACTAAATGAATGAGACATCTCTTGACATAATTGACCAAGTTCATGTTATTTCGAAGAAAACCCCACAAATAAACTGACTTTTTGTAACAACAGTGCAAAAATCACAGTATGTGGTTTATACATTAGAAAATATTGGAGAATCAATAAAAGTTTGAACACTCGAGTATATAATTGAAAAAGACTGTTTATTCAACAACGAAAGTGCACGATGTCATGGCTTACTTTTACGGACAAGTGCAGGCGTTCTTTGTATTTTTTTAGTCCGAGTCGGGTAAAGTAAAGGCTATAACCATAGGATTCCAGACTTTTATACTTCCAAATGTGACTAGCGATAATGTGAATCTCTCTCTGCGATGACACGAAGACAAATAAATATCTCGAAATTTTGCATTCATCGATCAGCTTTGAGAAAGATGGAGACAATCCGATACTGACGCTTATTACGACGACCCTAGCATCAAGCAATTGCCATACAGTGTCCACTATTAAGGAAATCTTGGGGTTTCGCTTTACCAACAAGGTTGAAAACCACTGATCTACAGTAACATCTATGTTTACATTTGAATATATGTAACAATTCTGTGGAATCATCCAATGAATTGAAAATATTTGAAAACTGTTATTTCAATTTCGGCGAATACCCAAATAATTCAAAATCGTATTTGTATTTTCGAATTAAAGATTTTTTCAGTTCTGGTAAATTTTTAAAATATTCAGCAACTTTTTTGTCGTTTGTTCGTTTTTGAGGGGGATAATTTTGTGGGAAACTTTTATTTGTCATTCCAACTTTGTCCATAATATAATCCATGTCTTCATCTACTGTTTCTAACTTAGCAATATAGTCGTATTTTATTATACACGGGGAACATAACCTGTAGTAAAACTCCCAATGTCTATTATTAATCTTTGTTGAACTCATTTGCGAAACAAAATTTGCGAATTCTTCGAAGCTAATTGATTGAGATGAATTATCTATTTGCTCATGTGAATTTGAAAACTTGGAATGAATTTTATTTGCCATTTTCTGAAAAATAGGGTCCATATTACCCAGAAATTTGTCCCTGTAAGCTGAAAGTACACGATGCAAAGGCTCTCGAACCATCATCACTTTATAGTATGTCAATACCCGATGTTTGATTTCTGTGATATCTCCGAGATTCGATAAAAGTAGAAGCCTATTTGCTGTATCGTGAACGCCTTTTATTTTCTTCGGGTTTGTTTCATTTGTCAAACTCTCCGACATGAGTAAAACCTTCTTGAAGCTTGTGCATCCAACTTTAGGGATGAGACATGCGAGAAGCTGAAAAAAAAAATTCAATCATAACTTTATGCAGTGGAAAGTGGCAATTACCTTGAAGAATAGGATGCAATGACGATACGTTAGACGTAAGGATGGATATACTGTACCAATCGCCATCAAGGATAGGAGAGGAGGGGGAGAGGAATATCAATGAGATTAATCATATGACGAGCCACGGCCTCTCGTCCGGTTACCAGTCCATGCCGAGTAAGGTATTAGGTTTATCAGTTATATGTTTCGGACGCAGGAACTTTAAATGGCCCTTCTTTTCTGTAGATTGCTTATTGGGCTGCCATATAGACATGAGGTTTCATGTTCAGAGCTGCACAACACAAGACGGATAACAAGAGCAAAAGACTTTTTTAAAGTGTTCCCAATTATCTAGCACTGCTTCAAAAAAAATTATACAGTAACAGTGTCTCTGTCGCCAAGTGAATACACCCCCTGCCCATAGGCTTCAGTCCAGAGTAGGCGAACAAGATTAAATACATCATAGTGGTACACACACTTCTGGAGCGCCCTTCAGACAATGTAATCTACCTATTTTCGATACAGCGATAAGAGTTCGTCAAAGTAGAGTTCAGTCCAAATCGGAGACACTAATTAGGCCAAAAATAAAAGGATCTAGTATATTCTAGTTTATAAATCAAGCTTTTTAATTTCAAATCGAATCTTGAACTCAGCGGAAATTCTGATTTACCTTATATCGATCAGAGAAATACAATCTAGTTCTTCGAATGAGTTTCATAAATTCCTTGTTCTTCAGTGGTTTCTTCCTGTTTAATTTCAGATTCTTGCATGCACGTTCAAGTGTACTTTGCCTGAGCTGTTGTTCGATACATTGTTTTTCTAGATATAAAATCATTTTGTTCCTTGTAAGAAAACGCGAGAATGAAAATATCAGAAACAAATAAATAACATGACCTCCGCACTACAGGGCTTTACGTTGGGTTGCGAATTACATCTCCGAAATTACAAACAATCTCGTCCGGATATAAATGTTTCAAAACTGATTTCAGTTGTAAAAATCTTTTACACATCTATTACGCCGTTTCATCATTATTAAATTCAATTTCATATTTCAGAAACAAATTGATTTTGTTATAACTGAAGCCTATAGCCTTATGCCTATCCAATAAATATGTTTTTTAAACACAAATGGCATTACAAGCATCGAAAATTTGATATGTTAGACTCGCTGAAACTTTTCGAGCAGTACAGGTCATTTCTTTGGAAGTGCGGCTTGCAAATACATGATGTCGTAGACCGTTGGGCAGGTGTTTACCACCAATTTTAGCGTTAAGTCTTTGCCCCCAATTTCAATGTTCAAGTTTAGACACGATCCTTAGAAGTAGTGCACACAAGTCAACTTAAAAATCTAATATCACCTGGAACTTTCGACGAATATTCGAAGTATCTTGTTTTTGTCGGGATGTTTTCCTAGCAAAACAAATAATCGGTATTAAGTTTGGTCAGAATCATTTTCCTGAGCATGGACATGTTCAACATAAAACAAAACTAGATTAATGTCTACATCAAATCAGAAAATGGAGTTTCATAGGATATTCCTATCCAAGATTCAAAAATATGCTCGACCCGAAACAATGGAATAATAATATGAATTATAAAGCAATTACTGGATCTTTTATACAAAGACCCCGCCAAAAAATCCCGACAACTCTCAAAATTAAAAAAATTAGTAGTTATCTAGTTAAAGTTAGGAATACAAACTGCGCTGGAAATTCAAATTTTCGGATCATTCTGAACCCTAACCCCAATTGGATGATCACTAATTTGTTATTTTAAAACATGGCGGAAGTGTTTTTCTCAATTCTCACATTTTTGCATTATGGACAGGGGCTTTGTACAAAAGATCCCAATTATTTTATCGTGCAAAGGATCGTTAAACCATGTAATAACTCGAAGTCAAATGTACTGAATGCTATCTAGTTAGGCCAGTGGTTTTCAACCTTCTTGGTGGGGCGGAACCACAATGAAGATTATTAATAGTTGCAAACCTGATATATCTGATCATAATTAAACAACATACATATCTCAGATTTAAATGGAAACATGTGGAATATGTGGACTGTAGCGGCGGAACCCCAGGTTGCCGCGGAACCCAGATTCGGGCGCAATGAGTTAGGCTGATAGTATCTAATCGAGTCACATGCCACTCATTGATTGCACCGTCATTATTTTCATTGAAATCCACATATCTGCACGGGTATATGTTAAACAGGATATTTTTCTGAATCATATTTCTATTGTTAAACCTTGATCTAACTAAATGGAATCGACAATCGATCGATTACGATATTTCGTTTGTTTCGAATCTACTCAGGAAACATGTTGTTTCGTATTCGAGTGAGACTGAATGAAGATCACAGAATGCAAGCTTGCGCAATTCTGCTTGGGAACGAAAGTAATAAGGTTATCAAAAGGAACCAATTCCATGTTCCAATAATAAGTAGTACGTTTCTTGCGGTCTGCTGCATGTAATTAGGCCTGATGATTACCTGATTTAGTGACAGTTTCTTGAACGATCCATATATTAGTATACTTGACGCTGCACAAAACATCAATAGAACAATCGAACGTTTGACCATTTTCTCATCATATTATCACGCACATAAGCTTTCCAAGGTAGATTGGTACTAAACTACTATACCTTGAAATTTGATATCACACAAATAGTGTACTTTTTAGTTTATAACTTTCATCTAAGTATTGTTTCGGTATACCTTTTTACGTGAATAAACTATATAATTCCAATGTTATCAAATGAGTAGCCCATGAGTATCATTTTTTGATGTTTATCTCTTAAAATAAAACTGGAACATTTCATTTTACCGTACAAATGAATAAAAAAAAACATCCAAGTTAAAGCAGTCTTTTCCTATTAAACATATCGGTGGGCCAATCTGCTTTCTTACCTTGGTAACTAAAGTGATATGTAAAATTGAATGCAAACATCGAACATGAACCGTGCCTATACGCCAGCTTCTGTATAATGCCTCTCGATAGATATGATATAAAACTTAACAAACATATTAGCAAGGGAATCTAAGCTTTCGCCAAAACTTGTCTTTATTCCTACAATGCTAATGTATTCTTAATCACACGCCTACTTGTTCGATAGTCTTTATATTGTCTAACTCCAACAACATTTCCTTGTTTTGCAACGCTAGCACGAAAATACCATCCTACAATCATTTTCGAAACATGGGAAAATTGAACTGTCATATTGCATTCAGCAATTGTTTGTATCAAGTTTCGCTTTACGCATGTGCTGACATGTTAAAATCATGTCACGCTTTATGTAAAACGTATGTTGATGTCGTCAAATGAATCAGAAATATGTGATGGCCTTTTCACAATTGATATGATCATTTTCTTCGCCTGTGCCAACTGAAAAAACTGCTGTTCAATAATGAATCTATTGATACTCTTATGGAAAGAAACTTTTCTGTGGTCTTCAATAGAGTAAAAGTTTAGAAAATGGCACGTTCGCTCCAGAAAGTTGTGACGTGATCGATGTAATGGTCGCTTACATACACAAGCGTAGCTAAAACAACAGGATCAATATGCAACAAATACCATTGCATAACAAATCCGTTTCAGATATTTTTTACTTCACAGTACTAAGCTATTGACTCTACCTAAACATAATTCTTGCTTGTTAGGAAAAAAAACATAAAGCTTCTCAATCTTCGAATGGTAAAACCTGAAAAGCAACTAATTTAATACTAATAACACATATAGTGGCATTTTCTGTCAGCTATTGATCAATAATACTAGAAATTGAATATACGCGATGAACTTTAAACACAGTTTCATTTGTATCATTACATTAATATTGTCGTTATATCGACATGACATTTCAAACTGTAGTGTTTGATATTTGAATAAACATTTTTTGCCTTAATCAATTTTTTTTTCCGAATTACATTATTTTGGTCGAAAATAACAAATGAGATTTTTATGTCGATTTTGTAAAAATTAACTTATATTTGTATTTTCGTAATTTGAAGTTTTTTTTATATAATAAAAAAACGAGAAAATAGTCAAGCAATATAATAATACAGTCATACATCTACCATCAAGATATTTTAACGGCATAAATAGGTAAATAGGGCGGGTAAATAGTATTTTCCCCAAATAAAACAATATATAAGTATGATTTCATAGCAACATAAATACATCAGCGACAGATCGACAAAAAACATCAACTGTACTGGCACTTCACAGAAGCACTTAAATATTTCACTTTTGGGCGCTCCAGAAGTGTGTGTACCAATATGGAGGTAACTTTTGTTTGCCTATTTTACATCAGGTCGTGTAACGGGACTGAAACATATGGGCTGTATATTAACTTGGTTAACACACTCAGTCTCCGAACCCGTTGTAGAACTAAAATAAGAAACATCGAAATAACATTTTGGCGAAACCCTAACCTGGTACACACACTACGGGAGTACCCACTTTTGTGTAAGAAAATAAGTTGTATTTGACAATTAAAAAATGACATTTCATTAAATATATCATTGATTTTTGTTTTATTCGGTTTTATTTTTGATACCAGTTATTTTTCGTAGCAATAGAGGAACGTGCTATCAAAAAGCTCTTTGAACAATTTAGTATATTTAAAATTTTAACGGTTATAAATTTAGGATTTTCCGTTATTTAGTGAATATCCAAATAACTCATAATCATTTTTATATCTTGTGATCAAATTTTTAGTTATATTTGATAATCCCTTCAAATATTTTGACACTTTTTCATCTGTAGTCCTCTGTGACACCGGATAATTTTGCGGGTATGTAATATTTTGTATTCCGACTGTTTGCATGACGTAATTCATGTCATCATCAACGGTCTCTAACTTGGCAATAAAATTGTATTTGATGGCACAAGGTGAACAAAGTTTATAATAATGATCCCAGTGCGGGTCATCAATATAAGTATCATCGCCCGAATTTAAATATTTCACAAATTCCAAGAAACTTAATTTATAAGAAGATTTTTCTTTCAAATAGTTAGATTTGGATAAAAATAAATGTATTTCTCTTGCAATTTTAGAGTAATATTTATTGTCCGGAGCTTCAAACTTGTTTCTATATGCTGAAAGCACTCGATGCAATGGATCCCGAACCATCACGACTTTATAATAATTATTTAATCGACGTTTGATTTCTGTGACGTCACCAAGATTCTTCAGCTGCAGGACACGGTTTGCAATATCATGCGTGACGTGCCCAGATAACTCCTTCGGATTTGTAATGTTGACTAAACCTTCAGCTACTAATAGTACTTTCTTGAAATTAGTGCAACCGACTTTGGGTATCTGGCATGCAATCAGCTGTGGTAAAGAATAATATTGATGAATAGAAGACATTCATAGTTAAAGTTTCCGTTCTTTGCAATTTGGGTGAAAATTTGGGGACTTTTCGCTGGGTAATCACAATATAATACAGAAGTATAGTTTAATCAAAAATGGTCGCCGTACATAAAATGGCACAATCAATGCTTTAATATATACTCTGTAAATAATATTGACTCTAAAATTACCAAATGTAGCCTATTACAGTATACTGATCGTATGGATAATAGTAATACTATCGACGGCGATAAACAATGATATCTACTGTCTATACTAAGTCGATGCTTGCTACTTTTAAATTTAATCATTATGATAATCACCTTGTATTTGTCAGAGAAGAATAACTTCGTTCTGTTTATGAATTCTAAAAATTCTTCGTCATTTTGTGGAATACTTCTAGTTAGATGCAACTTGGAACAGGATCGTTGAAGTGTTTCTTGTCTCGTTTTTTGCTCGTCAACCACCGAGTATTTCATAGTTGTTTCTGAAATAATAAAATGTTGCACGTTACCCTACAAGCAAAGCAAAGAACAGGCAATGAAGCTTAGATAGAAATATAGTCTTTTCGAACTAGTTACTTCGTTGTGTTTGATCGCATTGGTGTTTCAAATGATATCGTATAAGTTTAAAATTCTCTAAAGTTTAAAAAAAATAATGCACTTGTAAAAATTATCTTGGAATGAATTTGGTTTCTAGACACATTGTGTACAAGCTATTTAACACTTGGCCTATTTATCAAAACGCTTCACAAAAGAATACGTCACACAAATCCGGGTACAGAAGCTTAATGATTTGCACCCACAGGAAAACATTGTGCGAGCCGTGGAGACGTGCCAATAGTGAATTGTGTGCAGCACGCTAAATGAGTTTTTAAAGGCAAATATCCATCTCACTTCTTCAGAAAGTCTAGCTAGAGAAAGATAGTGCTTTCTTGCGCTGTGAATTTCATAACTTGGCCTTGGTAAATTTATACTATATGAATTATTTGTTCGTATCATATGCCAAGCCACATTCCCTCTCTTCCGAGGCGGCCCAAATAATATATTCTATTCAGTTCTATTAACCAAAACAACTAAGACGATAATATTACCTTGCGTTGTTGGTATGGACGTTAGCGCAAGTGTTGGACTCGTTCGTTCCTTGTGTTCGTTTGTCGTATTCGCAATAGGTTTTACTGTTGGTAATGGCATTGACAAACTCATAAACTCGTGGGAGGTTCGCGAATATCTGTGACCTTTCTAAAAATATATGCATAATGGAGAGTGCATAATGAGAGTCAACTTCAAATTTGGATTGCAATCTCAGTATTACTAAACGATCGATCCCGAAATGAAGACCATTTTCATAATACTTATCCCTCATTGTCATCGTGATATTTATGAACAGTTGGTAAGAACGGCGCTCCAGAAGTGTGTGTACCAATATGGAGGTAACTAATTTTATTTGCCTACTTTACATCAAGTTGTGTAAAGGGAGTGAAACATATATATATATATATATATATTCACTTGGATAACACAGACAGTCCCTGAACTCGTAATAGAACTAAAATGAGGAAAATCGAAAAAAATTATGGCCTAACCCTAACCTGGTACACACACTACCGGAGTACCTAAATAACACTGGCTTCCAATGCAAAAAACACGTCGTTTATAAAATCTAGTATGAAATAGTAAAATCGTCACCTGAATAACAAGATGCGAAGACGATGAATAGAACATCAGTGTGAATATTGCTATTAGAATTACTGCAAACATAACTGATTTCTTTTCCATTTTGATACCCTCGGTTTCTTCAGCGAGTCTAGTCACCTCACATAGCTTTCTTCAACAGGTAAATCCGTCTATGCCCATCTTATACGGAGCATCTAAACTCAGAAGCTACGGGGAAGCCATTCCCATCATTCGTCAATAGGTCACTGTTTTGTTCATCATTTAACGCTTCAGAAAATTTTGTTTGATTTCGCCCTCATTTCAAACAAAAAAATCCGGGTTTGCGAATGACGCCTGGGCGTGAAATTCCATTCTTCGCTTGTAAAGCTGAATAACAATCGAGGAAGACTCTTGTGGGTCACTCTTAACAAAAATTGTTGTAAATATATCAATCATTAACACTATCATTCAGTGTAAAACTAAACTAAAACTAAACTCAGTGTAATGCTAATGTTTAAAATTTTAAAACTCATGACTTGAATGGCCAAGTTATATTTCCTGCTATAATACATGATTGTTTTTGGACGAGAAATGGCCGATTTTCTTAATAGTTGTTGTTTGACGACTTTTCTTCCAGGAGGGGGAGATGAAATTGAAGCCTCACTGTAATACTGCACATTCCGACAATTTCTCTCTGGAACGAGAGGTCAATTCATCATAAGTTATGTAGTTATTTTGTATATATTTTCGTTTCCACATATTTGAGCATTGCTCACTTGTTATTACTTCTGATTGGGCTATTGTGATATTGCTACTGCTTAGTAAAACGCGTTTTTGAAGTAAATAAAATATTTTCTGGACTAATATTTTAACAAATATATATATATATATGATTTTTAAGAATAATTCTGGTTAGAGAACAATGGTGAATAATTTATTAATTAGCATTTTAAAAATACTAAAAGGTTTCATAACACCATACCATATATGGGCATCCGAAACTGTCTGGCTAACTAATCACATACATGAGAATGGACTGGTAACCGGACAATAGGCCGCGGTACGCCATGTGATTAGGCCGTCTTATCGGCTTTCCTCTGCCGAGATAAATATGAAAACCTTATTCAGGAAATTTTCACCAACAAATTCACACAGCTGGATTTTAATCATTTTTAACCCTTTTGTTTGAAGTCCCAGTCGACGAAAATGTCAATATACTGTTCTGCATTATAGAAATCAATGAGATTGTTTTAACATACAACGGAGCGACTTCCACCATATTAAACTCTGAATCGTAATGAAAGTTCAATACAGCAAACGTCTTCGTAGACGCCCTAATCAAACACCGGTATGTACAGAACCAACTATAGTTCCATACACGCCCATTTGATAAATACTAACTATACAGGTTGTTTAATGTCAATATTATTCGAACGAGTGAAATAGTTTGTGACAGAATGATGTATGTATAAAGCCTCATGATACTGTAGTTCAGTTGAGAGTGTAATATGGATGCGAATTTAGGCCTAAATAAGTAAGTTACCTTGCCGGTAGTATCAATTCGTCAGCTCATATGTGTCCAAGATACAGTTGGTGATGGTGTTCTAGCATTGACTAAATATTCATAAAATATTATTATTTTTCTCTGAAGTATGTTGCAGCCGAACTTTGTGGCGAAGTTGAGTGATTAAGTGAAATGAGAAAAATTAAATTGATAAAATCTTTTCGATCGAAAAGTTATGAATTTGTAATTTTATTGCGAGTACTGTCAACCACAGGAGTGAGACAATATTCAGAGTGGGCCAAGGTATTGAATGGTTCTCGAATGAAATAGCTTATAAAGCTAGTACGAATGGAAGTGGAATATCTGATGTGAATATAGAAGTTGAAACGGTCTTACAAGGTTCTTGTCAACATCTAACGTTAGTTGGTTTTTACAGCCTTGAAATAGTGGTATCGCAAGTTCAAACGGTTACGACAGTAAAGGTTGTCTCAACATGTTTCTACGTTACTACATAAATTCTGCTGGAAACATTTCATTGGGCGATAATGTTTGATTTTATGGAGTACAATTACGGCTAGGTGATTTGGATCGAGCTGGTTTTTATCACAATTTTTTCCGAAACTGTCATGATTTGATCAATTGAGTTACAAGTGCGTGAACAGCCAGCCGCAGACTACTATGTTTTAAAAGTCGAATTCCTATTTTTCGGCCGCGTGTATTGTAATTTATATATATATATATATTTTTTTTAAGCTTCGTATTCAAACAAAGTTTACAGTGGGTGACAGTCCGCATAACTCCTTTTTCGATTTATTATGATTGTTTCGCAGAATATACCTGAAGATATGAAATTGAATTTATTAATATCCTGTATAGTTGTTGTGTGCGGAGTCGCACATTCCTGGTATCAACAGGATGACGAACTGGTTGACCTGATATCAAGACGAGTGGTTGACATAATGGAAGAAGAAATGAAAATTCCGTTAGTTTACCTGCACACTTTGAAAATAGAAAAAGAGGTCAATATACTGTCGTTACAGTCAGTTTTTCTCGCTTGGTAGCTTACTGAAGGATAAATTTAATTAGAACTAACCGGGTCAAATCATATTTTTGATAACTGTAGCCCAAGTCTAACCAATCTTCAAACTAGGCTACTCCTTCAGACTTCTCCGGCGGGCGGTTTATGACTTGAATTTAGTCCAAGTCAAATTATTTTTAAGTCCTAAAGTTAGCAGTGATGTAAAAGGTATTCGTACAAAAGACTACAAGGGTGATGTCCCGCGACACGCTTCGAGATAATCCACCTTTTATGACCAACCAAATAAATCAATTCGAATTCTAATAGAAACTTTATGGCTCCTTTTTTTGTCCAACTTGTTCAATTTTTCGCGAGTATGTCCTGGTATTATATTAACCTGATCAAATATTTCATTTAGGCAAAACTCGGGGATGGTTCCCGATTCTTTCTCACATTTGAAGTGGCATCTCCAATAGACGGAAATAAGATATGCGATGCCGTGTATGTGGAAGACACCAAATCAGTACCTTATTACGAGTGTTATGAACCAGAAGAGATTGACGAGCCTGAGGAGGGAATCGACGATTCAGATCCTTTCGTGTACGAAAGGGATGACATTCCTCTTGATGACGGGGAGGCTGACGACGATGATGATTCACAATATGATGATTGCTCGAGTGAAGACAGAGAGGTAAGTTTAAATTGGAAAAAAAAAGTTCTGCTTGCTTCCATCCAAATCGACGAATCCATTTTTTTATTGCGATTTCAATTCATTACCGCATGATATCAGTGGACAGCATAATAAATATGATATACTTTTGGAATGTAGCGATATTCACGAACCTGTTCTTGGAATGTTGTGATATCAGCGAACCCGTTTTTGTTTTAGACGTTAGACGACCGCAGATGTCGGATAGCGTTATATTTGGCGTTTCAAAAGTTTTAGATTTATGTAAATATTATAAAGCGTGCCATGTTAATGCAGCTTACGCGGTGACATGCGTATAGTTTCTGAAACGATAGAACCAATTGTTAGTGAGTTTCATATAAAAAAGAGCCCGTCCTTGAAATATTTGAATCACTAATGACTAAAGCAACATTATAAATTGATTTATAAAACAGTTTTAGATTACAGTGTCCATCTTCTGATGAACATCATGGTCGTCATAAATTGAAATAGAATCAAATATAAATAAATAAAACCATATCTCTTCTCATCCACATACACTCAAGTTCTTGTCAAATTTTGATTCCTTGGATTTCGGATCTAGAAAGGGAGCCATTTTTTTTTTACCTGAAGTTGGAGTCGATTTTTAATTTCCCCCGATTTCAGAGCCCTGGTCATAATTTTAAAGTAGTTCATCGAAAGGTAATGTCAAATATAGTTTTCAAAATAATGCATGTTGTTTAGGCTGCTTTATTCGGGCTTCGGCTGTAATTTTTTTTAGAGCTTGCTCAGGGAAATCGTGCACGACTTAAATAAACAAGTTGACGAAACAAACGATGAATTTGATATGCCGGATCCACTTGGAATGGATATGGGCGATTTCAAACAAGGTCATTTCGAAGGAGCATCGATATCATCATGCAAAAAGATGGAAGTACAAGACGGAATGAAATACAAAGTAGAGATGAAGGCAAAACAAGACCACGTGGTGAGTGTGATGGCTAAATCAGAAGCTAGTTTTTCCTATCTTCATCAAATGACTCTCAATCAAACTAATTGGCTAACCAATGGCTGAAAATCATATCATAAGCACTATAAGCAGACAAAGGACATGACCATTTGTTATTCAGCTCACTAACTGGGAAAACTCTCTCAGTTGATAACCACATCGCGACCTGGTTTTACTAGTGGACTATACTTGTTTAGTTCGCTTTTCGTTTTTAACCTAACAATCGGAAATAAAAATCTAGTGGTAATTTAAGCGTACTAACAAAGAAAATGGCACACGATTGATTTACTTAATATTTGTATTAACAATATTTACAGAAGGAGACATGTCAAATCATTCTGGTAGGAAAAATCAATGCACTCAAGATCACCAAAAACCAGTGCCAAGGCCAGAACTGAGAACATGAAGATGGCGAAGATTTATTTTGTAGTGGATTTTGATCAGTGTTCTGAAACCATTTTTTTAATTATGACTATTAATCATTAGCACTAACATGACAAAATACATAATAATTCAAGATGCTGCTAATACATACTATGTGATTATGAGTTTTAACTTTGAGGTTTGTTCAGTACTAGTCTAAAATAAAGCATTTTTATACGACTCACGACTCCGAGCTACTCCTTACTTAAACAAGGCAATGCTCAAATGTGCTGACACAAAAGCCAGAACGAAGTAGTATTTATTAAATCTTTTACAGTTCAAAGTAAAAAACGAATCCCACAGATCGCAAAATTTTTTTTGAAATAAGTATAGTAATCGCCTTCTAACGACAACAACAATCCTTAACCACTGAAAATTGGTCCAGTAGCTGAAGAGAAAGGTGAATTTTTTCGCAACAACAAGAAGAATACTAACTACAAACAATAATACTAACCAAACGATCCATAGATCCACTTTGTGTCTCAAAAACTCGCCTGTAATTGTTACTGGAACTTACTGATAACAAAATTTTGGTGAGCCGAAGCTGTTGAGGCGGAGAAGAGTTCCACCGTACTCTGAACTGTTATGAGAACTATGTCAAACATAAACCCATATGAAGTCATGGGTCAGATTAAAAATTGCGAATGAGAGTAGCTGAGATGAACACTTACAAGCATCAATGTTTAAGCAGTCAACATTTTGACATGCGGAGTCGGAAGTTAAATTTTCAATATGTCGGGACCGAAATTCCCCTGGATCCGACTACACCGATAGCAAGTCTGAAATCAAAACACAATCGATATTGAATGCAAAGTTCTTACGAATTCAAGCGGAGCTGCTCAGACTGACGAGCTGATTGCTACCACGCAATCGGAGATGTAATTTTCTCACAGCGTACTGTTTTCGGATTACAACCGTTTTAGTAATCATCAAATTCGGATTGTGCAATCGCGCAATCAAATTCTGATCGAAGAATCACCTTGACAACAGCCGTCAGAAGATTAACTTGCTTGTTTTTAGATTTACATATCCCAGGAGTGGATATAACCAATAAAAATTCCCAACCAGAATGGCTCCACACACGAGCCTGGCACATTTTCATTGGAGTTTTAGCCCGATCATTTTTCTCAAATCCAATGAGTGGCAATTCTTAATTCCCGACGACCTTGCTACGGCGACGAGTCCATGAATCGTCTAGCACCCGATTGTTTTTTGAATATGCGATATTTGAATACCAAAATCCACCCTAGACCACAATAAAACACACGTTGTTAATTTGATGGTTTTTCTTTTTCGATAATTTAGCTTAACAACAACGCTTCAGGTCACACTCGATCGATCAAGCACGAAAGAAAAGGTGGCAGAATCAAACATGCTTGATCGAGCACTGAAGCGTGAGAGATTGTAATCAAATAATGCAAAAAGCTCAAAGTTGTTGTACATAAGTACATTTTCGCCTTAAAATACGATTCTGACAAATTCTTACTCGATAAAACACGAAACAAAGAAGTGAAGAAGATATTTAGATCAAAAAAGTTGCTACAATATGTCGACAAAAATAGAGAATTTCAGTATAAATGATATGGAGAAAAAGTAGACTTGGAAAAAGGGGGTATATTTGATCAACTACAAAAACTTTTCTGACAAATCTGCAAAGATAATTACGCAAATATAGTACCATGATTCAAACATATTCATCCAGATACAAAATTCTGAATCTCATACACATACACAGGGTGAAGGAGACAAGCCTGCCCTATCCATGCATCATGCTTGGCATACGTGAGTTATATATGATATCAGCTAGATCTTGTAAGATAATCTTTCACTGATGAAAAAAGCAGTTACCGATTTTATCAAAATATTGAAGAAAAAAGAAAATAATAAAATTCAAAGTGTGAACACCATGCTAATGGAAGAAGAAAAATAAATAGCTTGAATAGTAAAAAACAGCCACGCAAGTACAGCACTCTCATATTCATACAGACAAAAAATTTAGAGCAATAATCATGAAAAATTGTCACATTTCTTGAATACAAAATCTCTTCAATTTCCAAACAAATTGGAAAAAGTCCAAATTTGATTTTAAAATAAGAAAATACAGATTCAAAATATTACCCTAAAACAACATAATTTCCAGTGACTCATACAAGAGACATATTTTAATAGCAAATTAAGTTTTAAGGGTATGATGATTAAGAATAATGTCAAACTGAAAATATCCCTTCGAAAACCCAGTAGTTCCCTACGAAATAAAAGCTATGCTTGGAACAAAAACATGAAAAATTTTCCAGGAAGATACATAGCTGTCAACAATTTAACAGCGTATGTCCAGATTTTTTTGCATAACAAAAAATTATTGAAAAAATTGAAAAAGGTCTAACCTGGCTTTTGTGTATTGAGGTTACTAGCAATGATATAACTTGCTCGATCATACAACATGCACAGATTATTTGAATCTATGAAGGATACATTTATAAAAAGTGACACAGGAACAAAGTGGAAATATAGAAAAAGTTACAAAATAGCAGCAATGTAATATATTCGCTCCTGAAAAAGTGAGCAAATTGTCACCTTGTTCATGCTTGAGCAACAGTAGAACAATAGATGTTTAGAACAGCAATGATGCTTAAGTTAATCTTGGTTAATTGGTTAATTGAAGTCTATTTTCCATGTTGACATAAATATTTTTCAACATTTAATTCAAAAACTGACTAGGTACATTGGGCAAGAGATAACATTGGTTTCAAATTTAGAATGAACCAAATTGTTGCGGATGAATAAAGTTTAGAGTGAAAAATACACATCATAAGAGATAAAATATTACTACATTATGTCAATTTAATCAGAAGTGTGAAATACATTTCTTGGAATATTTTTTTAAAATACATGTAATTATTTTACGATTTAAATGAAAAGATGATGATTTCTTGACACAGTAAATTAGAAAATGATTTGAAAAACAAATGTAAACACCAATTCCCACATACCTACACCTCAGAATAAATAAAATAAATTTTTAACCAACACCAAAGTAGGAAAAAGTGCACAAAATGGAATGTGGCAGATTTGTATAGCAAAGCAAGCATAGAAAAAAATTGAAAATTTAATATAATTAACAAGTTATTCAACACTTCTTCCTAAAAATGCAATCCAATATCACATTGGATCACCTGGAAGATTGTTTCTGATAAAAAATATGTGCTAGGCACAATACTTGTGGAAAACAGCAAAATTTGCATTGAAAAAAGTGGAAACTCCCATACACTCACTTGCTCCAAAATTTTTACAATTTCTAAAAACTAAGATTTTTGTGATTCTGATCTATACGTGAAATTTTCTTTCTGATCACAAACTCTCCAGAAAGATGTCAATATTGAAATAATTCGGAATTCTGCCATGCATAAGATTCAAATTCAAATAATATATTTTGCAAATACTTCAGAAGTCACAGAGAAATTAAGAGTCTCTAAAAACACCATTTATTACAAAAAATACAGAATCTGACCAATTTCTGGGTCATCTTATAACTTGAAAATACCAATTTTTTTCATCTCTTCTCATAAGAGGCCGGTGAAAAAGAATGTTAACAGTAAATCCATTTTAGAAACTTATTGTTTTCCTTGTTTATTCCGAAACAGCAAATATTTAGCTACAGTAAAAAAAAATTATTTCAAAAATAATCAGGCTGGCAGGTGGTTGAAATTTCAAATCATCAAATTTATAGTTATGGAAAATGTAAACCAACTAGAGACCACCAACCCGCGGAGACGCTCTTTTTCCAGGGCAAGAGTTTGGAAAATATCTACACATGATATTTCATAAAAAAAAATTGTTATATATGGTGTATTCTGTACCTAATTTTAAACAAATGCACCGAATCTCCATGATATTGTCTTACGTTTGTGAAAGTGTGGGGAAAGATGCTGCAAGTTGAAGTTGTCCAGGACTGCTGTGATCTGAACCTGTATGTCGATGATGATTACTTCTCATAGAAGGTAGAGGACCAACATACGCAGTCGCAGTTATTCTCCCAAACGGTGAATTTGGTAAACTGGAAATGCCATTGTTATTCAATCTGAAAAATGTAATGTAACGCAGTATAATTCACTTGTAAATTAATGATAATGCTCAATACAATCTCATAAAAAGTGTCTGTCATTACTTAAAACTATATTGCTATACTTATTACATCGTTCCTGAACAAAGCAATTTCCCGAATTACTTTTTTGACTGAAAATGATTCAAAATTAGTAATTTTAGTGTATTTGATCTTTACACTCAATGCATAATTATGGAACTAATCACCAACAAATACCAACAGCAAGATATAGAAAAGGCAATGCTGGCTCCCACCATTTTTTCACCTACAAATAATATAATTCAATTCTAAAAGTCAAACACTTACTTCGGAAAATCATTGTTTGATATAGCATTTTGCGATGGATAACTTTCATCTGATGAACAAATTCCATCCTCTGAATATTCCACAGATGATTCAGATGATCGACAACTCTTAGGAGTTGATTCAGAACTACATGAAGATGTTGATGCAATAGGTGTGCTGCCATTCGGAAGAGTGATTACACTGACACTTACACCTCGTCGAACTGGGGTATCCTGGTTTTCTTGGGACTTGAAAATAAAAGTTTAATTGAAATTGTGATGATTACTCATGTTATAGTGTGAATCATATTTTTCAAGATATACCGCAACAAATGATAAAAACTTAGAAAGGAGAAATTTTAGAAAAATAAAATACTTGAATCAATATGTATACAGGAGCCTATCAACTTGAAAAAAAAAATGATATTGATGGCATTCCCGTATCCTTAATGAAATATTTGCCAATTCATTGTCATTATCAATTCCATAGGTTAGGGTTACGCCATCTTGGTTCACATACTACGGGAGCACCCAAAATTATTTGTAATACACGGACATTCCCATCTTTGACTTCAATTCAAACAGTAAAATTATAAGCAAAGTAATCCCTGCATTGAAAGGAAGAACAAAAAAGGCTCTATCACTGCTAGAATATAAAGATTCAAAATTTCAAGTCGAACTATTTTTTGTTATTGTTTCCACTTACCGAACTAGTATCGTTTGAATTTGATTCTCCAATAATGAAATTACACATTGAAGATGAAGTCGTGACCGGTGACGAATTTGTCTCATAATGACGTGACTTTGCAAATGTGTTCATAGGATGAGGTAGTCTACAAAAAATTAAAACGAGTTGTACATGAAAAAAAAACTTTCCACTGCATAAAAAAAACTATTTCAGGGAGTACATGGATAGAGAAAATCAGTTTTAATATCAGAATACTTCAGTTTACTTGTATTCAATTTTGCTCATATCTGCTAAAAACGCAAGACCATGTTTAAAAATGTATTAAACCTGGGTAAATTAATTTAAACTTTCCCTGATACTTACATTACAAGACTTACATCACATACCTTGGTTTGGAATACTGAAATTTGAAAGAAGATCCAGAATACAGTGGAACAGTGGGCCGAGTGGACGGAAGCCAGTTTGGAGCTGACCGCTCTGAAAATAAAGAATGAATTATACAAAAAAGGATCACGAATAAATACAAAAAAAAATGAGAAAATCTCGAGAAACATAACTAACGCTATTCATATCACTGTACATACACCTATTATAAAAACTCTAAACTGTGCAAAAATCGGAATACAAGTCTCGAGTATCCCTTGGTATTTAGCTATTCAAGATTAAACAACAAATATACCTAAACATAATGCGTAGTGAGGGAATAATGAATAGTTTCAAAATAGACATTAAGAGGAATCTATCAAAAAAGGGTAACATAAGTTGTTTTATTAGGAAAATTAAATAACCACAATTGCATCATTCCTAATTGTAATTAACTATAAAATTCAATTGCAATGCGAACCAAAATGTTAATATCAGTATTGTCACCATGGTAATTAATAATAATAGAATATTTACCTGGATCCATTCTCTCTCTTCTTTTATTTTCTTCTTCAGATTTGAAATCTCCCATACTTGCGGAATTGACTAAATTCTTCTCATGTTTCCTACTGCTACCTCGTGCAAATTCCATCATATTTTTGTGATACAATCGGAGCAGAGGATACAGAATTGAACTGAGATGAATCCATTGCCTTAAAAAGGTTTAAGCATTAGTCAAGATTAGCAATACGATACTAATTTAATATAATAAATCAATGGTTCTCAAACTTTTTAGGCCGGGCACCCTTTTAGAATTTGTCAAGTCTCCTCCCCACCACAAAAATAATTAGCTAACAATAAGCTACAAATAACAGATAGTAAGGCGAAAGTAAGCTTTATTCAAAAAACATGTTGGAAATACGTGGATGTAACGTAAATTTCCAAAATAAAGAAATGTAAATATCCTAAACGAGACTGGCAAGATCAAATCTAAAAATATTTTTATTTTTAATTAGCTTCATGCTCCCTCAAAAAATTGTCTACGCTCTCCTTGTGGGACGCGTCCCAGTGTCTGAGAACCACTGTAATAAATTATAAAATTATATTGGATAGGGTTTCTCAAACTGGATCCTTGGAGCACTAAGGAGACACTGAGTGGTCCTCTTGGGGGCCACGAGTAAAGACCTTCACTTGGTGCAGTTTTCCATTGCTACATTAATTTAAACTGGATTGACGGTGATTTGTTTAATTTAACTGTATTGCAATATTGTTTTGCTCTCATTTGTCGGTTTTTATTACTATCAAACATGGTGCATGAAGTAACTGAGAAATGCATTAAAGGCAAAACTAAGTATTTTTTATAAAAGAGCAGGGAGGCCACTTGAAAGTTTGAGAAACACTGCTATGGGATAACAAAATATCTACAAGTACAACCAATATTTGGCGTTTCCAAGTTACAGATAAAAATTTTTGTAAATTTCTGTAAAAAAATTCTATAATTAATTAATTATGTTCAAAATTCATAATTGGTGAGCTCCATATTTAGGCAATCAAATAGCAAAGGCAAATGGTTACAGAATACCATATTGAGTCATCCAAATTTTCACTAATATTCTCCCAAAATATATGGAAACTGCTTTAGGACAAAATAATTTTTTTTGCGATTTATTAAACACAATTAATAAATTCACACTTTTCCAGCTGTTCAGCAAACTTAAAGTTAAAATATTTGGTGAATATAATTCGAACCTGCAAATCATCCATGCTAGCCGATCCACAAATAGTTTTTTCATTTGATTTGTCTCCTCTGACTGATGTTGCTGTCAGGGGACCAACTAAGATAAAAAAAAAATAGTCAGAATCAGAAATATTTCTGTCTTTCCGAATTATACTAGCTCGTGACATAATGTTAGATATTAGTGTCTGAATGTCAAGAAAAAGGCACGAATAAGTGTAAAAAACTGTATTTGGAAAAAGCAAATTTATAAGACAAAGAATGAAGATGAAAACTCACACTGCATATGATTTCTCAGAGTCAATGTTCGATTGGCACCAAATCCTTTGACAACAAGAACGTTTGGTAAAGCACGAAGCAGAGATTCAAATGTAGGAAATCCATATCTTTCAAAATCAACTGGTCTTTGAAATGTCGTCAAGTATGCAAAATTGAATTCTCTGAAATAAACCCAAAGAGTGAAGTTAATGTTTGATTACTAAGATTTGTAAAAACTAACATAATTTTATATCATTTCAAGTTCCTGATTTGTCTCCATTTCAATTACTTTTTATGATTTGCTGAGGAAAAAATTCTATTAATTAGTTTTTTGGAATTTTTTAATGTTAAAGAGTATAAGGTTATAGTATATATAAGATGTGAAAATACAATATAACTGGCAAAATTGTGAAACGCTACTTTGCACTATATTTACTTTCAAAATTGATCGTATAGTACTATCATAACTTTGTATTCAACTTAGAGAAGGATTTCATCATGAAACACAATTCTAGAAAAAAATCCATTACCCCATATTCATTGTTCCATTATTTTTCAGTAATACTGATCTGATAGATCTTGCTTCATTATAAAGTGGTTTCAAATGAAGGCATTCAGGTGCATCCAAATCCATCTGCAATAGAAATAAAAAGGATTAAATTAAATTAGTTCATTAAATTTTAAAAAATTGCTAAATTCCGGAATACAAATACCTTTACTACTCCAGGTAATGCTTTTCTTATGATGTCAGAAAATAAAAGGAATCCGTATTCTGATGGATCGATATTCTCCTTGAATCTGAACAAGATGAAAAAAAATAAAATTAGGCACAGGACCAAACAACTTCATCAATATACAAAAAAAAAATTACGATTTATAGTTCCTCTCCACAATTCAACATTGATATAAATAGATCACTGTAATACCGAAGATAGTTTTAACAAAAAATCAAAGAAATTGCAATAATTCACAAACAAAGTTGAGTTAGTTATAGTAACAATAGCATAAAACATTTTCAGGAAATGTCTATGTTTGGATCTGACAGAATGAACTGACAGATATTATTAATAGGGGCAATGCTTGATAAGCTAACCAGTATCGCAGTAGACTGGCTAAGAGTATTGGATGCATGGTAATATATACATCAATTACTGATTACAAGAAAGAAAACAATTTTGATTATCTTCAGATTTATGAAGTTTAGAATACCAATAAATAATAGTTCAGATTGAAATAATCAAGAAAGCTTGGCAATTTTATTAGTTTCTAAGTTTCTTTCATATGTTATGATATTGCCGAATACTAAAATATCAATATTGTGTACTTGATATAAAGTTAATCATAGAGAGGAGAAGTCTAAATAAATATTAAACAGAAACTATGATAACACAGGTGTAATGATGATTAGACTGCAGTTTTACCTTTCCATATACATTGCGTGCAGATGTTCAACATCAAGTTGATCTGATGTCTGATCAAGTAATAATGCAAGTAACTGAGCAGATAGAAGACGAATTGGTTTACGTTCTGCAAGTTTCACCATTTTATCTCCGGCTTTGTTGACAACAACCTGAAAGACATGAAATTTTGATAACTCAAATCATCACAATTTTATGGGAAAAAAATATAATGGGCATGCCGGAAAACAAATAAAATTCGGAGTACTCAGTCAAGTTTCAGATACATATTTGAAGATCGCATACTCCTACAACAGTGGGCTACAAACGGTGGGGCGCGACCTAATAGGGGGGCGTAGACAATTTTTTGAGGGGGCGTGAAGCTAATTAAAAATAAAAATATTTGTTTCATATGATCTTGCCTGCCTTATTTTTGATATTTACATTTATTTATTTTGGATATATTTAGTTTCATCCACGCATTTTCAACATATTTTTGAATACTACTTTTGTTCTACTATATGGAATTTGTAGCTTATTGTTAGCTAGTTATTTTTGAGGTGGGGCTCGAAACTCAGTAAATTCTAAAAAAAGGGGCGCGGCTTAAAAAGTTTGAGAACTGTTCCAAAATATGCAGTATGATTCAAACACTTTATATTCCACACAAAATAGGAATGTATATAAGTATATTCATAGTCACAACAAAATTAGAATGATATATTTTATGTGTCAAGAACAAAGGGATAGTTCGACATAGAAAGCAATACAAGTTGAAATTCACAAACCTTAATCGCATGAGATAATTTTTTCATCAAATCATCGATGTCAACGGCATTAAAATCCTGTGGAACGAGAGGAAATCCATATTTTTGCTGAAATAGAGCTGGAACGCAGGCTAGTGGCAATGTAGGTCCATCGAGATTATTTTTATGGCCGTTATCAGTAGAACGATTTGGAAGCATTGATAAGGCTGGCGGAATTTGTGCTCTCAATATACTGGTTATTTGAATGCTCAATATCTTTTGTTGTTCCGTATCGGTCAGCGCAATAAGCTTTTCAGTCCCCCTTTCTAAAACCTGAAAAATAAGTTGGATAAATGTGAACGGACCTTGCCACTAGGGCTGGTCATTTTGAATCGAATCGAATAGTAAATTATTCGAATCGCTCCAGGCAAAGATTTTAAATCACCGACATCTTGTTTTTATTTGGCCGCCAAACGTTAAGGTGAATTCCTCAATTTTTTTTACTGAAGTCATGTTTAAACGATGCAATTCAGACACATGATTCTATTCTTTCTAGCGAATTATCGATGTAACATGTTTCTTATTGTGTGTGAATGTTCAGCAAACTGTCTGGGTGATTGGTTCTATGTTTTCAATAATGTATATGCTTTTTGTGTGCCACCAAAATAGACTTGCCACCCAATTTACTGTGTGACATATAAACTTATAGCTATTTTGATAAAATGTCGTAAATAAATCTCTTTATTCCGATTGCTAAACTGCAAGCCCCCATATTCTAAATGACAGGAATCAAAAAAAAAAATATTCCAAATATTCTTAAAATGAAGTTAAAAAAAAATTTTTGAGAAGTTGAATACGAATTCAAGCTTTTATCAAGTACTCTGATTTCTACCCATATTTTCATTCCAGAATTTCATTACGGATTACTAATACCTAAATTATTTTGAATATCGCTAGTTTCAACATTCAGTATCCAGACTTACCTGCACAACATGCGGTAAAGCTTCAAACAAATCTATCAATTTTGTAAATCCATAATTAGCAAGTTTACATTGTCGTCCAAACTGTCTGTGATAAGTCGGCACAAAATCAGTGAACGGCATACAATAATGAGGACGAGTTCGCAATATTTTGACAACTTCTCTTGCAAATTGATTTGTTCTCTCTTTCTCTTCGTGGGTTCGCTCTGATTTTTTTTTAAACATTTATATAAAAGATTTAAATATAACCTTTAGCCTTTTGTAAGACTAATCAAAACATGAGAATCTCTCCATTCAGTGTTTAATAGGTCAATGAGTAACAAGTCAAGGGAGCACAAAGTATAAGTATGCTAATCATAGTCACATTTTTAGAGGTAGAAAACTTTTTTATGAGAATACTAGACATAAGGAAAGCATGTAAGATATTATACTCTTTTTCTTCTTTTCTTCACATCATTAACATATAGTTCGCAACATCGAAAAAAACTAAAAAAAAATTTTGCAGTGGCAGACCTATTGATTGTTCTGGTAACATCAAATCAAATGCGCACAAACTTCGATTTCTATTTACAAATATTTGGTGCTCAAATAATCACTAAAACAAATTTTTGGTACTGGTATGAAATTAAGCAATTATAATTACCTCTGATTGGCAGTGATAAGACAATATTATCTCCTTCGCCTGTTGTACAAATATGACCTTCTGGAATATCATCAAGTAAATCAGATAGAACACTAACTCCATAATCACGAAGACGCCAAGCTCGATTGAATGTTCTAAACAACAAAAAACTCCATTATCAAGAGATAATGTGTTCCAGTAGCGAACTGCCAATACTTTGTTCTATATTTCACGTACTTAAAGATTCATATAAATTACCTCTGGGTTTGCGCATTCGAAAATTATTGTTAAAATCTTGAATAAAAAAATCTACCTGTTATATAGTTCAGGCATCTGAGCAACTAATATAGCTCGATCTGGCGTCGATTTTAAGATTTTAACAACTTCTTGCGTGAATCTTTTCACTTGAGCTCGATGTGTCAACGTCAGTATTCGGTTTGACAAACTTCCCATTATCTGGAATGCAGATGAAAACACAAATTAAAAGAACGAGCAATAATAAACAATATCTCGATTTCTTGATGGCTTCTGCATATTTTGTACCTTTTTAGGAGATTTGGACTTGGTCGAATTAAATTCAAAATATTTTTTTCCCATAGTCTTAGCGGAATTAAAAATTTTGAATTCGTCAAGAGTCCGAGTCAGAATTTCAATCTCTAAATTTGTCAAAATGATGAAGTCATTTTTTTTAAAGTGCACATAGTTTGAAGACCAGTGAGAATCTTTTTACGTCACACTCACATGGCCAGTCTAGATGGGCAAAATTTTTGGCCCCTGGTCATAGAACCTTGCCCACTCCTGCTATACAGCCTTGTATATTAACTTGTTTACAATAATAAAAGCCCAAGTTTCAAAAATGTAATATTTATTCATTGGTCATTTTCATATTAATAACTTTCGTAGATTGTTAACAAATGAGTATAAGTTCCCTTCGAGAAAAATTCCAAAAAAAAACATTCCCATACCGCTTTTATTCACTGGTTATCGATAACAAAATTTGAAAACTACCTGTAAAACATGAGGAATTGCTGCAAGTAAGTCAGATAATCTTGTGAATCCATATTCAGCTACTCTGCATGCATGTCCGAATGTTCTTTGATAAGTTGAATTAAATTTATCATATGGCAGACAACAGTATGGCAGATCCTGAAATAGATAATACAACTGAATGATTGTAGTGGAACAAAGACTCAGTGGATCAAAATTAAAACTCCCAATAAGTATGCAATGCTGAACCAGAAGGATTCTGTTCCTTCCCAATAACAGAAGCTCGTTAGTTAACGTTAGATATCAGTGACAGCTGGTATAAGGCCCTAAACTAACAGCTACTGATAAAGCCTTGTTCCGAGGGATAGGCGTGTATTAAGCACTATATAAAATAAGAAAACAAAATTCTGATCTTCAAAGCACAGTGAGGTGAATAGAGTTGCGTAACTTGGAAGACATCCTTGAGTTTTTAGGATCCTAAAATACATTTTGTTATATTTTATTCCAGTTACCCAAATACACTTCTAAGGGCAATTTGATCAAAATTCCGACCTTTAACTTGGGTCATTTTGCTAGTAACACCTCGGTGAAGAAACCCAAGAAAAATTGACCACTAATTTTTTAGGCTAAGTTTGACTTGACTTGAGCACAAAAGTTGATGATTCGATGGAAACCTGCCTGGAGTGGAAACATAGAAAACAACAGAGAAAGTAACTCACCTTGAGTAGCTCTACGACTTCTCGACTAAAATGAATTAAATTCGGACTTTTCCATCTTGAAGCTCCAGATGTGTCACTTGCTGTGTCTGACCCTGCGGCCGAAATAAAATAAAATTTCAATTTACAGTTACTTACTATAATGTCTGCCGTTGGGTTACAGTCCGAGTGTATTCATAATGATAGTGATTCCTAAAGTTGATTGGCTGGGGGCCAGAATTAGAAGCGGAAGGATATTCATGAGCCAGGAGAGGGGAGCGCCCGCAAGGAGTCGAAACTGTACTGGTATGTATAAGTAAGATACTGGTGCAATTGAATTGTTGCGGATATGTGCTCAACTATGATAATGATCAAACAATTGGCGGTATCTAAAAAGTAAAAAGGAACGTGTTCTATTTCACTCCAGTTCGGCGGGCCATATTAAATCATTACACTGGCCATAATTGGCCGCGGTTTGGGAACCGCTGATCTATAGTATTAGAAATGTGTTTGAGTTGTATTATTCTAGGTCTAGTTATTTAAGGGAATTCCAATTAATAAAGGGTAATCAGAATTAAAAATTTTGTGTGTGGAAATTGCCATTATCAGTGCAGGCCATTTCGGTACTAGGTAGCCCTTTCAGAATAATTGCAAAATAATTCTTAAATACTGAACTACTCGGTTATGGGAATCCTAGTCCTAACATCACTGGTGAAGCATATACATACCTGTGTCACTTTGTGGTTGAGCCCATACTATTGCTTTTACTCCGAGGCAATGAGGTTGAGATGTGATGATTTGAACTCCTGGTACATATGATGCTTGGTGTTCTACAATAACACCTCCTTCTATGTCAGCAGGAAATGGAAATATTCCATATTCAGCACGATAACAGTGTTCAAAACTAAAAGATAAATAGGTGATGGTAAAGAAATGTCAGGATATTTATATTTATCCTAAGAAAAGAGGAAGTCCAAAAAAGGGCTCAATCATATGGCGAACCACGTCTCTTGTCTGGTTGCCAGTCCATGTCGGGTATAGAAAATAGTTAATCAGTTATTTGTTTCAGATACTTGAAACATTATACAACAAGGATATGATAGGATTTACATAGTCATTCCGGAAGAGAGGAAAGGCGATAAGAGAGCCCAACCATATGAGGAATCACAACATGTTGACCGGTTTATGGGAAATGGGAAAAAGTTGATCAATTATTTGTTTCAAATGCATGGATTTGATGGTGGAGGAAGCCATAACCAACCAGCAGTTATGTGGACGACCATACGATCATGAGGCTAGCAATCCCCTCGCTCGTAATAATCCGCCCCCGTTTCGAACCTGCACCGAATAATCAAGTGTGATGGAATGTGTGTATTGAACGAACTCACCCATCTAATTGAAGAATTCCATTATGGGAATGAAGTAATGCATGAAGTTTGGCAGAAAATTCTCGAAGACCCATCTCAATTTTCAATAAATCTCCACTTTCACCAGATGGTGGTCTACAAAGGTATAAATGTATATTAATTAGTTCACATTCAATCACTAGCAAGACATTCATAACAACTGTACACCAACACCAATCAGCAGGAAATCAAAACTTTTTCCATGAAGATTGAATAAAATTCCATATTTATATTTCTTGTACCAGTAATTAACCTCAAATACAAAAATAAGAAGACTGTTTCATAAGTATTGAAGTAAAAGTACTATAATATGAAAAAAAAAGTGTATTACCGTATATATAATCATATACCTGGGAGTATCAGTAGGATAATGCAATTTACAAACAGGTAGAAGAAAGTCATGATTAATGTCAGGTGTGCTCCTTCCACTACGTGGACATGATGTGATTATTTGTTCAAGAGATGACCTGAAAAATATATCTTTTTAGAAAATTTTATCCAGTTCACCCAGAAAGTATACATTCATCCATCAATAGACTACAAGTGAGGCTTAAAATTTGAGGTACATACAATTATTTTCAGCAAAAGGGCAAAAATATCATTAGATTCCTCAAAGATCAGGTAGCAAAAATGTTTGCACTTGAACATTCTGTAATACAGCTGATTTGTAGCATAGATGATGTTTTATATTATGTTCTTGATCTCAATTTCATTTCAAACATATTCTAAGTTTTATTATTAAATTCACTACAACAACCTTTTCATTCGAATGGCGTTTTAATATATTAACTTCGGACAATAATTTGAAAATAAATAAATTAAACCAGGAATAAAAAAAGACGCAACAAGAGCAACATACTCATCCTTGATCTGAGGATTTATATAAATTTCTCTCCCAGACGATCCATCACGAAACAGAACAACATCTGGTATTTGTTTCAATTCATCTAACCTTATCTTGTGTTCGAATCTGTAAAAATATATTCTCGTTTAATAAGGCACTTTCACATATTCAATCCATTTATTCACATTCATTTATTCTGTATATCTACAGTCTCTGATATGTAATGGTATTTTTAGTAAGAATCTTTTTTATTTTGTCATTGCCTCCCCCATTTACTTAAAAGGTAAGATGATGGGCATTGGATTCAAACAAGAGTAGCCAGCTTAACTTTTCTACAAAAAGTTCAATGTCCAAACAAGCGGATAAATATTATTTCTTCTAGAATCAACAATAGCTCATAATAAGCAACAAAAAGCAGTTAAAAGGAACAAGTACTGGCATGCAACATCATTTAGATTTTGAGCAATTGTAACAGAAAATGCAGCATGGCTTATAGTTATACAATAAAATTTTACTGTAAATTTACCTTAAGCTCTAAAATTACATGGGAATTTTTTTGGTAATAATTAAAATCGATAACAAGTCTGTAATCATAAGATATATATACAGGGTGATCAGACCAAGTGTAGACAAATTGGCAAAAACATGCCCGCTTCGTTTTAGGTGAACAGTAACGGGCGAGAGCGATAAAATACAAGAACTGGTAGTGCTATAAACGTCGTTTAGCGAATACAAAAGTTAATTGTTGCAATAATTCAAAGCTGCTTTCATACCACTCGAAAAGCTCTCGTGTATCACTGGTGGTTTTCATAACTCAGACTGAGACAACTGCTCTAAGGAATAGATTGATGACTTGTTGGGACAAAATTTCAGAAAAAACCATAAGAGCCTCGTGCAGACAAGTTCCAAACAGATTGAGGCGTGTAGTGAAGGCAAAGGGGTGATATATTGAAAAATGACAATGTACTATATTATTTATCTCTATAATGCTATTTTCTAAAAAATAATTTTTTTCTCTCTTACATGTATATTGTAGGTAGATATTTCAATAAACATTTGTCTACACTTGATCTGATCACCCTGTATTTATGAACACTAATTACCTCTTTTCATATAAATTGAAAAATCTGTACAAAGCCATTCTTCTTCCAACACAATCTTTCAATAAGATGTAACAATCTCTCCTGAGAAATATCAACAAATATCAGTCCAGTTAAGCTTAACACATAATTTGCTACTAAAAAAAATTGGAATGGGAACATACCTCCTGAAGTATGCGCACCAAGATGGCACACAACCTGAACTCGGGTTGTGTACCAGGTTAGGGTTCAGGTTATGCGACATCTTGGTGCGCATACTTCAGGAGTACCATGGCAACCGTACAAAAATTGAATATTCAACATAAAACGAAATACAGGTGCTATTTTCAACTAAGAGTCTGAACTCGGAACTTTTCGTTCAGTTCACAGAGAATACGCTTTGCACTATTCAAATTCTCTCAGAATTCTCAAGATTCATCTTAACATTATATAATGAAAAACAGAATCTCCTGCTGAGTTGAAGCAATCTATTAAAATTTGGAATTCATATATATTAATATTAAGTTTAAGTAATACTTTTGTATTATAAGTGTAGGAAATTTAGGTAAAAAATGAAAAATAAAATTAGCAATAGCATGAAAAAAAAACATTGCATTGCTTAATACTCAAATGATGCTTTTGCGCTGGCGAAGTTAAACATATCTTTATCGATTAACTACATCGAGCTTTTATCAACTATAAAGTTATCATTCAACATATGACAGGTGTTCCATTCACTGGATATTAACAAAGTTCTTTGGCAGGAATATAGATGGATCCATACAGTCTACTTAACTTATATACACTGCGTGAGGTGAACAATGATTTATTTAGAATGAAATTTGCTGCAAGGAAACCATGAACTCACTTAAGACAAGATGCTTCTTCTGGTCCAAATTCTTCTCCATTTTGTTGTGCAAGAGTCACAAGAACACGTTTCGTACCAATCTTCTGCCTTTGTAAATGTTGTAAAACTCTTGACGCATCTTGAACGTGTGGTACAATGACATCACAAACAACAGTAAAACGATTGTGAGGGCGCACTTTCATATTCAATATCTAAAAAAATGATCATTTTTAAATCGGAATAAATTTATAGGAATTCTATAAAGACTTGCAACCAGGTAAGTAGTCAACCTACCATTGTTTCTGAGGTGAAGTTGTGAAATTGTGAATCAAAGAATATGGCAAATATAACGCAGTCAGTTACGATATCTAGGGCATGCCCACCAATGGACATGAACACTAATACAACAATTATTAACGTCTTTTCACTCTGAACGAGCCATATACAAAGTGCCACTGATATTTAATAATATGCTAATACGATTTGGAAGAGTCCGAAGATGCCAACACAAGATGCCAATACAAATGCTTCAACCAGTGGGCTATCGCACAGCCCAAATTCTTATTAGGATAAATATACAATCAGATTGAAGTTTTCAGAGTTATATGTACTATATATATTCAATACATCTTCCTGTGATGTATTTTCTGACTAAAACCGGTCTTTTGAACTGTTTTAATTCGAAAATGTTTTAAGGAATCGCTAAAAATCACAACTGAATTGTTCTGTAGATACAAGTCATTTCTACCATTTCTGCAATTTTGGAAATTGTAAATAATTGCTCAATAGTTTCCTTAGCATCGGTTAAACATATCTCTATCCTTGTCGTTCATAAAAATTATAAAATCAGTTTTACCTTGCAATGATCGGTTATCTGTTTCAGAAGACAATCTTGAATAGAGTTGATACCAATCTGAGCATCGATGTTACTTATAGTCAGTTTTACTCCAATGTCTTGGTTATCTGAAAAAAAGAGAATGAGCATTATAGCGTGGCTAGAACTAAATAAAAAGTTCATAAAAATAGCAAAAGATTATGCTCAAATGCAAAATAGTATCTATTGCTTTTATGGTCACTGAATCAAATTACTAATAGAAAACAATCTTTTTCAAAGTTGTACTAGTGCGAGAGTCACGATAACTAGTGCGAGAGTCACGATAAGCAAGTTTTTGAAATCATGGTATTGCCCTACCTAAGCATACCATAGCAAAATAGATGCTGTCAAGTTTTTGCGCCCTGATTCTTATATATACAATTATTGGTACTCCCGAAGTATGTGAACCAAGATGGCGGATACCAAAACTCGTATGTGTACTAGGTTAGGGTATGGCCATAATTTTATTCCAATTTTCCTTATTTTAGTTCTATTATGAGTTCGGGGACTAGCCAAGTGACTCCCGTAGTATTTGTACCTGAAATTATGGCTTAATCCTAACCTGGTACACATACTACGTTCCGGCGTCCGCCATCTTGGTTCACATATTTCGGGAGTACCCAATTATTAGGTAACAGTTCAATATTGAATAAAAAACAAACAAGTAACATGATAGAAAATAAAAATAATAACTTTTATGTTGTTATTAAAAAACATGAGACTCAAGAGATTCTCAGGAGGCTCAACTTTGCCCCATAACAGTTTAAAACAAGTATAAATATTAAAAATATTAACCCACCTATGATTTTTCGTTCTGGATTTGGGGGTTGAAATAGTTGAGGCTGGGGTGGCGGGGGAGGCATAGGGTTATAATCTGAATGTTGATAAACAGGGGAATGCCTTACCCGGTTGTACGGGACAGGCGGTGGGTTTAGTACAGGAGGCATAGGGAAGGGTGGTGGACCGATGCTAAAAGGTGTCTGGTAATGGGGATGGGGCTGAAAAGGTGGTCTGAGATTTGCTGGCAGATCACAATGACCTGGAGTAAGATTCATAGTTGGTTTGATTTGATGATCAGAAGTAGGAACAATTGATTCAGATCTTTCTTGAATGTTGAAATTATCAGTTCGATTCTGAATCAAAAAATATAGTATATTATCCTTTTACATTTTCTGAATAAAAGTATCTAAGTCACCATATCAAAGCCATAAATTGGAGTCCAGATTTTCAGTTGTGACTCATGAGACAACCATTACAAAACGAAACATCGGCGCTCGAGAAGTATGTATACCAATATGGAGGTAACTAATTTTGTTTGTCTACTGTACATCAAGTTGTGTAAAGGGACTGAAAAACCTATGGGAATGGGGGTATATTCATTTAACTAACACAGACAGTCCCCGAACTCGTAATAGAACTAAAATGAGGAAAATTGGAATAAACATATGCCCTAACCCTAACCTGGTACACACTCTACAATGAGTACCAAAATATCTATTTGTTATTACATGTCTAACGATCATTTTATTGGTATTATTGACTGAATGAACACTATTGTCTGACAACCATTTTGTCTCTATTCATAACATACTACACTACGATGCTGGTCAATTTTGAGAATAAATGTACTTATATTTACCTTTGGCTTGCTATGATATCCATTGTTATAATGTCGTGCTGGTGAAAAGTTGGAAAAGTTATTTTGATACGGTTTCCCATTCTTGAAAGCATTCATGTTTGGTGGACTTTGATGAAGAACTGAGACTTTGATGGAATGACCAAAAACATCTTCTCCGTCAAGTCTCTTGAGGGCTCTGAGGAAAAAAAGGAAATGTAGTCACATATTTTGCAAAACAGATAAGGTAAAGTGAAGTATTCGTGCAATTACATCCTTTTACCTGTTATTCTTCTACTTTTGGGTCAGGGACAATCAACTTGCTCCAGACATCGCAAATAAAGACGAAGAAAACTACTTGCCTGTTGGCAGCATCAGCGGTAGCAAATTTCAACACAGCAGTTCCCATAGATAACTTGACAACTTTGCCTCCACAATTATCAGATAACTGACGTAATCTCATCCGTACTGCATTTGCATCGTTGTTCATTGGAAGATTGGAAACAAGTAATTGTGGTTGCGGTGATTCAGGTGACGTCTACGATGAATGGATTTTATTTTACTATCAAAAAGTTGCATTTATTTTGAACTATTTTTGCTTCTTGTCCTTAATTGTAGTTAAATGTCCAATATTATATGAGCGGGTTTATTGCATGTTCATAATGTGGCTATTTTTAATTTTTAGGCAGAAAATTTCTATTTCTAGTGGTACACCTGATGTCATTTGTAAATTACCACGAGGGACACAAAAAATTGCTTCCTGATTCAGCACTGCCGACCTAATTTATTACATCCTGTGTGAGTTGATAGAATGAGATTTGAACCCAATATGAGTAACCCGCGACGTAAACATCAATGAGTCTCAAAGCTTTCACTGCTAGGCCCCGCCCCACTGAAGAGTTGAACTCAATAACTGTGAATGAATATATTGACGATTTTGAAAAAATCCTGATCAATGTTGTAATTTTTGAAGCTATGTTTGGGCAGTTACAACTTGATGTAAAATAAAACCAATTTTCGTCCACATTTCCACCTGGGATTTTTTTACGAATGAACTAGATCTTAAAATGAGTGATATAATTGAGTATTACCTTTGGAGAAACATGCACAATTGGTAGATCAGCAACAAGATGTTCGTAGCAGATGACAGTTGTAGCTGCCTGGAATGTTTATATTGAACAATTACAATAACTGGGATATTGAAGGCAGTAAGTGAATTTTAAATTAATATAAAAAAAAAGTGTTGAGGATTCATATTAATTAATTCCAGATTGTTTTACTACGGTACTGGTAATATATTCAGAAAATAACGTTCAAATTTATTCAACATAACATGGTACTGAACTACTTAGAAAATGGGGATGATCGGATAAAATATCTTGGTTAAACTTGGTAGAGAAAAAACTGTCAAACTTACAACACCAAAAAATGTTTACTACAAGTTATCTTTACGGAGTCCTAACATAAATTTGAACAGACCAGATATAAACAGAACTTACTTGAATCAAAGATGGACTCGCATTTGCTGGATGAATAAGAACAACGAAATATTTATGTCTGTGTCGGAGATCACTAACTTCTGATGTAAAATTGATATCACCTTTAAAAGCAGAAAGAGCTTGAAGTTTTTTACTGATATAGAATATTTACACCGTAATAGTCAGAACTAGCAGACTACAAATGTTTATCGGGTAGGGACGAGATCAGAGACTTTATATTCCCCCCCCCCCCAAAAAAAGGAGGAATGGGGCTGAGGGGGAAGACGACTCGATCACATAACAGACCTTATCCTCCCATCAGGTTACAGATGGGATTGGGATATAAAAAAAATCTAACCAGTTTACTGTTCCGAATACATAGATAGGAACAATTATTAAAACCAAAATCGGGCAGCATTTAGCTCATGAATCCCCTGATACAAAATTATGGTATAAGAACGGTGCTCCCGAAGTATGCGAACCAAGATGGCGGACATCGGAACGTAACATGGGTAACAGGTTAGGGTTAGGCCATAATTTTTTTCCAATTTTCCTAATTTTAGTCCTATTATCAGTTTGAAGACTAGCCAAGAGCCTCCCGTAGTATTTATACCTAAAATTAGGGCCTAACCCTAACCTAGTACACATATTACATTCCGATGTCCGCCATCTTGGTTCGCATACTTCGGGAGCCCCATAAGAACATTTTGAACTTAAAAAAAAATCTTTCTGAGGCTACCAAAAGTCACTATTTACTGTAAAAAGTGTGAAGTCAATCCATATTTATCCATGTATTAAAAAGTTTCGAATATTGTAGTTACAGAAATTTTTTTATTAATTGAATAATTAGAAAATTTCAGCTAATTTTTTTGGTACCTGTGATAAGAACTAGTGTAGCAGGAGCAGGATGGTTGTGAGCAAATCGTCTGATACTCTGTCTTAATTTATCATCGGCTGCGTTCTTTGCCGTTGCATTTATATGAACAACGTTAACCTGAACACAAAACGAATAAACTTGAATAATTTCAAAAATTCCAATTACCGTAGTAAATGGATACACAAAATGCAGATAATAAAAACATATAGTTTTCATAAAATCTAGTTGATATTACAAACACAATTAGTGAAGAAAATTAATCTTGTCCAAGAATATTGCAAGTATATCTTAAGAACAATAATGAACAAGTCATAGAGTAACAAAAGCTGTTTTTAGAAAATCATGACTCATTTACTCAAGTAGACGGTTAGGCTTTTCATGACGTTACATGGATGATGTGTAAGCAGGTAATTGACATTTTTAATTAAAAAATATATTGATATAACCAATCTATGTATTCTATGATCATTAGTCAGCCAATGACGTGGTGGCCTAATAGTTGGCTAATGCTTTAACTTGACTATGCTAGTATTATAGGGGGGAGATTCTATGTGTCATCGATGCTGAATCCAGTATTTTTCAGCCAAAGCTCACTCAGACAGTAAAATTTGGGTGGACCATGCATAACAAAAAATATGGTTCATATTCATCCTATATATGAGAGACTAGTACTGAGTAAAGTAGTAAAAGGCTTCATAATACGAGTTTAAAAAAAGCAAAGAACCAGCAAAGCTTGAATAAATCCCATAATGAGAGTGTACATTTTATTATGTATTGTGTAATTGCTCGTTTTCTTGTGTTTTACATTAAATATACTTTATACGATCAAAAACGATTTTGAGGTTTTAAAATTCGCCTAAACCACAACAAAATAAAATAATATTATATTGAGAGACAAAGACCCTCTTGAGTAAATATATATATATCATTCATTTACACTGTCATGATAATAGTCTGCAAATATTCTAATCAAGAAAAACAAATAATTGATCAGTGAATGAAAAGCAAATCATTTACTTCATCAATGTCATGAATACCTGAGCATTATTGAGATCTTGTATGACAAGACGACTTTCTTTGTTGATGTCACAAACACACATGAACTCAGCCTCTTTGTGCCCTGAAACAACACAAAAACGTATGTTTCTCCTAGGCCATGCCATGTCTCTTACTAGATTGTAGTGATTACAATAAAAAATACAGAAAATAGAAAAACAATAATGAAAACCTTGATAATAAAATGGTATGATAAAACTTAATATCACTAAAGCAAGTTTTGTCAGCATAGCAAGTTTTGTATATTTGAAATCGAAACCGAGTTCAGACAACAAAGATAACAGTAAAGATGTAGTGAACATGATATACCTGCAAAAAATCTCTCTCTGACTCGCTGTACAATACTCAATGATGATTTGCCAGTAGGAACTGCACAATTCTCAATATCCCAGAACACTCCGATGGGATAAGTTGGTGGGATTTGTTGCTCCTCATCCTTGAAATTAAATAGTTTTCAGTTTTTAAACCAATAATAACTAAAATTTTTTTTCCTTTTATTGAAAGATGATATACTAATTTTGTCATAATATGAAACAGGTTTAACATATCATGCTTTTGGCTGATGATACAATTAGCAAGAAAATAAATGACAGCACTCATGACAGTTCACTTTAAATTGGGGTTACGGGACTCTAAAAAAGGGCATAAAAAGTGTCATATTATAACTTTGAACCAGACAGTTTATTATTATATAGTCTATCCAAGCAAGAAGTAATTCGATTGTGTGACGCACACTATAAACACAAACCTGATTAATATTCTGGCAACATTCAGTCGGTTCATTGTGAAATAGAGCAGCAGCAAGAGGCAATGCATCAGCAACCAATTGATTTGAACTGCAAACACTTTGGCAGTCATCATCCTAAATTTAAATAAAATAATCTATTTGTAAACCTTCACTATGAATAAGACAGTGACTTTTACCACCTAAATTTGGAAACCTAAATTTTTTCCAAAAGGGCACTGGGACTGTTTAGAGGGGTTTCAGTCAAAACTTCGAAATATCTCTCATTAAAGAACTACTATAGTTCCCATATGAATGTTTTCATTTATATTTGTAACTAACCTCTGCTGGTGGAGCAGGTGGTGGTGGTATGTTTGGCCATCTGTTAAACAAATCTGGTGTTGGATGCTTTATTTCCTGAAATGGATGAAAGTTGATGATTAAAAAAAATCAGATTATGGTTGACTAGAGTAGTGTGTACGTAAGAACTGATTCTTTCTGCTTTTGCGTCAGTGAATCTAAGATTTTTCACATTATCCTGGAACAGAGGAAAACCGATATTGCTTAATTATATGGTGAACAACGACCTCTCACACGATACTAAAACCAGGGTAAACCATGATTTAGAACAGTGGATGGTTCCCAACCTCAGGCCACAGAGGAATTGAAGGGGGGACACACACAACGCTAGGCGCAAAAGTCATTTTACTTTCTCCTTGACAAGAAAACTCCCAGTTCTACCTGGTTTCATTGCTTGAGAAGGTTATTTAACAAAAGCATTCTTGCACATGAATTGTTTGAGTATAATGGGATTCGGAATATTTCAATCGAAAAAACACCGTCTATAAATACCACTGGAGTGATGAACAGGGGGCCACAAGCGCTAAAAGCCTCCTCAAGGAGCCCCACGAGTCCTAAAAGGTTGGAAACCACTGATTTAGAAATGACTCTCTCTTGGATAAATATAAAAAACACAGCAAACAGTGACAGACATGCATGACTAAAACAATAATTATATACACTTAGTTAGAAGACTCCCATGTTGCATAATCATAAAAACCTCTTTATTTTAATTCAATATTAATTACATAATATGCCTAGGGGAATGAAGGAAGGTAATGTCAAAATAATAATATATCAAAATTTATTTGAGTAGATTTAAATAAATATTATAAAAGCCACAGATAATGTTTGATAACATAGACTTCTCCTCAAGCATACTAAGTTGTTTAAATATTCAAGAAAAAAAAATTTGCAATATACTCACTGGTGTCTTATCACTGGCCACACATTGCCAACATTGAGGTTGTTGTTGAAGTTCTGCAACTCTTTTAAACAATGGAGGACCCATCGCATGCTGAAACATGATAAAAATGAATTGTAACCAGTTAATCAAATCAAAGTCCTGTAGGATGAGACTTTTCAACAGTATTTGTATGCAAAAATACTTGTTGACAACATGATGGGTGATGGCCTTGAAAATTGTTATCAAAGCTTATCCATATTCTGGCAATTTGCGCAAATCGAAATTGTTTTTAGTACAAGAAGAAACTTGATAAGAAATTTGATAACTTGGAAACTTCATTATAAAAATCAATGTTGTAAATCCACCACATCAAATACTATGATAGGGTATCTATTGGTTAAAACATTGGACTAACTTATATTGAACATACAGGTAAAAAAATCAAATTCGAATCCCGTCCCCACCCCCTCACCCAAGGTGAAATAAATTGAGAATGATAAACCGGAACTCTGCTTGCACATAGCCTCGTTCAAAAAAAGGTGTGTAAAATCATTATATAAAAAATATTCCTCATATTTAGACATAATCTATATCACACACACCCGTAACTAAAAAACATGCAACAAATACAAAGTTCCTGTTACCTTCATTGAACACACACAATTGTGGTTGGATCTGGAGCATCTTCGATGTGAAAAGGCACACTTTTTGTGTTTCGTACAATGTTTGACACTGTTCAAATTGCCATTAAAAAACTGGTTGGAAGCGGCAGAAAGATTAATGGCAGCATTTAATAGATATGTGTATAAAAGTTTAGTATCGTTTTTCTGTCTTTTTCTCAATGCGTAGTTTGAAAGTGTTTGTGTTGCAACATCGACAGCATTCGATTGCATTGGATTTACTATACCAAGACTTTGAGATATTATCTCTTCAGGTTTTTTATGGCTTATTCTGTTATACCTGGTTGCGTGACAATCAACAGATTTTTGAAATTTAGCATGACCTTGTATCAAATTATCTATCATTAACAGCGATTTGGAACGCAAGAAAATTTCATCTTGTTGATGTTGTTTAATTGTATTTTTAGACATTTTCCTGTCACATAAATAATCTAAAACTTCTGTGTCACGACTGTCGTAACCAGAATCAAAATCGTTTGGGGCTAAAAGTTGACCAGTGGATTCAACATCATCCTGTGATATTTTTGAAGACAAAAAGTCACTCGGCTTCAAAAGTGTTTTGTGCTGTAACAAAAAAAAGTAATTTGTGGTGTGCAGAGTGCAAATAAAACTTGTGAAAATATAAAACAAATGTGAACAGTGATGAACAAATAAGTTGAGTCAACAAAAAACAATGATTCAAAGCAGAGATCCAGTGAATCAGCAAGGATGTCGATAAAGAAGACAATATTGCATACATTCAAAATTGGTCGTATTTAATATTCGAATTCCTGAGTTTAAATACAGGGCATCCTAAGAAAACTGAATACATAAATTTCTTAATTACTTCCATAAAATTGGAGAAAATTTATCTAACAACTTCGATTTGTGTCAGACCAAACCAAAAATATGCCAATTTTACTGATTAATTAAAATAAATTTCATTTCTAATTTTTTTGAATATACAAGTATCACAACTGCTATCTCCAATTTAGGATAAATTCAATATGTGTTCGTGGTGGCCAATATTGGTAAGAAAATTGATCAATATTGGTTTGGAAATTATTGATATTTGGTTCAATATAAAGCACCTGGCCACGCTTTTACACTAAAAAAAATTCAAATTACTCAAAAAACATATAGTATGCAACCTGGCAATGACTGCTGATTTAAATCCTTATTTAAAGTAAAGGCGCGAAAACCGATGTAAAAAATCAATACCAAAAGTATTTTTTCAAATGTATATTCTGTTTCTACCATCTTTGCATTGATCACATTTGTACAGCCTTTTATACATCTGTAATTAGGCCAATTTGGATAACACATACAGTATGTAAATATTTACATAAACAAAATAAAAACAAATCAACAGCACACATATCTTACTTGCTCAAACTGCATTACATTAACTGGAGGAGGCGGATGATCATTTGCTTGCATAGATTGATCACAGAAAACATCACAATTGCCGTTATCTCGAGGTACATCCTGAATATGAGTCTGCTGCTGCATAGGCATGGGAGAGTTCTCGTAAAACGGAACAGGAGATACTACAAGAGCGGGTGAATCAATTTTTGGTGGCTCCGTGCCATTTATATGATTACCGACTGCTACACCAGTACCCATAGGGCCTACAACAGGGATTGCAATGCCAGTAACAGAAGGTACTCTAACATTGTGATACATCATAGGAGCATAGCTGATGATACTTGGATCCTGCTCTCCTACAGGTGGAGACATCAACCATTGAGGAACATCTGGTTTTCTCGGATGAATGAACTCTGGTGTGGCAGAAACTAAAAACAGAACAAGACAATTTTTCAATGATTATTGAAACTAAAGTGAAGGTCTAAGACTCTAAGATGATTTCTAACAGTATTCAGTTGACAGAGTTATTAGCGACTTGGTGGTACAGCGTATCATGCTAAGAATTAGGACTTTGCTTGCCATCGCTCCACTGATTTCCCTGAGTGGGTTTACGGTTCGAATCCGGTGGGGGATAATTATATGCAAGAGGATTGCCGGACTTCTCACTGTCGTAGCGTTGTTCAAACAATTGGCCAACTAATCCCAGATAACTTGACCAATTTCCTATATACAATTCATCTAATGTTTACCCTTGACATGCTTCGTTTGTAAAAAGTGCAAGACAAGATTAACAATGTAAAAGTAAAACCCTAGAAGCATATGATAGCACAAAAATACCTTTTCAATTTGAAAATAGTTTCTGTAAAAATACAAAAAACAATTTTGGAAAATCAAGCATTTTACCAATTCCAGCAAGATTGCAAGGTGGGCAGACATTTGTTGGAGTAACGACTGCTGAATCATCCATGATTGAATGACGACGCATAAAAGGTTGTGATGCCAAAGCAATACCATGAGCTTTGTCCGTAGTTGTCATAAAATGACCCCAGTAAAATGGGGGATTAGGTGGAATTGTGGACGGATGATTGGACCATGGTGCTTCCTGAAATAAAAAACACAAACTTGCAACTCAACTTGTAAAACTTTTAAGTGAAATAAGCAATGAATTGAATACTTTCAAAATATTAAAACACTTGCTTTATTCATTTTTATTTAAAATGATACCAACTAATTTTTTCTATGTAAAAACTGATTTTTCTGATATTTTCTTGAAGTAGTCTTTCTATATCATAAATGGTCTTTCTAATATAGTAAGAGAATTGAATAGTAAGTTTGCAAAACAGTTCGCCACGAAGGTATAATAAGCAGGCGCATCGATCTCATTCTAAGCAGTAGGAACATGCACCGTATCTATCGATTACCCCGCGAAGGTAGAATTTACATATTCAAATTTAATGGGGAGTAATAAAAAATCACTAGACACAGCTTTCTTATCTCCTCGGATAAATATGAATAATTTCAATTAATTTAAAAAAATGAATAAACTAAAACCATACATACTGGTATATTTGACGGTGGTCGGCTTTGCATATTTTGATCGACAGTTGGTTGTTGTTGAACTTGAATAAAAGCTTGGTTTGAATGCAATGCATCTCTTGACGATAATACATTGATTGGATACACAGGATGAAATTGAGACATCCCACCAGAAAGAGCAGGACTGAATTGATGATATGCTTGTGGAGGAACACTTCCTCCAATATGTTGAACGAACGATCCAGGCGGCAGAATAACAGAATAAGGGGGTGGGACTTGGTTGTCCATAATTTTAGCATTTTCGAGAGTTTCGGTTTGAATATTTTGTTTAGTATTATTATTAATATGTAGCGCATTTGCCATTGTGTCAGATATATCTGTAACACCTTCGTTGGTTGTTTCACCGCAGGTCTGATGAATAGCACCAATCTCACAGGTTAAATTGCTGGCTGTTTGCTGTATTGGAATATGCATAGGCATGCCACGACTGATTATGTGTTGTGTGTCAAGTGGTGATGGAGCGCAAGGCGGGCTACAGGGGTGGTGACTCTTCTACGGCCCATGGGCCGGGGCCACGGCCCATCTAATAGGGCCGCGGCCCATTTGTTATGGGCCATGGCCCATGGGCCGCGGCCCTTCAAGACATGGGCCGCGGCCCTTCAAGACATGGGCCGAGGCCCTTCAATCAATGGGCCGCGGCCCATTAAGTAATGCGCCGCGGCCCATCAAGTTATGGGTCGCGGCCCATTAAGTAAGAGAGAGGTTCCGGTACTTATATTATCCGTATCCCAATACAGAAATAGGTGCCGGTGTATATGTGTACAGATTTTTCCTTTATTGATGGTAGCATGAAAAAGTATTTATTATTGGGGTTGGCGGAATAGTATATTTTTGTGCTGAGCTTTGTGTCATTATGTTTTGGGCAGAGGAGCAAAAGTAAACTGGTATTGGTTGTTTTTCTATCTATCTATGTTAGTATATTTTACTGACATCTTCCGATTCTGAGATACCGGTACCGACAATACTGCAATACTTTACTTTAACAGGTTTAGCTTTTCAGCAACTGTCAGACTGTTGTACCGGTTTCTTTACCATATTTTGATTACTTTACAGAAAATCTTTGATTGAGAAATGTTTTAAAATTCGATTGAAAATTTTGGTGATGACCATTATGTGCAGATCCCAAGGGAAAAGATTCATTGGAAGCATTAACATATAAAAAATACGGCCTCTTTTCCTCAACGGCAAGTTACGTTTATATGCATTTTATGTCTTACGCGTTGCATTCCGGTGGTTTGTATATATTTTTTGAGTCAATCTGTATAAATACTCATTTGAGTCGTACATACTTCAACAGAATCAACATAATGTTTATTGGACACGTAGTGGACATAGCGATCGTTTCAATATTATGTTGTTGTTGTTCTTATCGATGTTCTTGTTCTTTGACACGTTTTTGGGAAGTCGCTTCTCTCTTCAAATACTGGGCCGATTGCTTTGAAATTTTCTGTGGTTGAAGATAAAAATTTTCACCAGAAGGCTATCACTTTTTTTTCTTCGCTATGAAGTCATCAAAATTGTTGTCACTGGGTGGCATTACGTGTCCATATATTTGAGCATATTTCTCTTATAATATTAATTATGCAATGAAATATTAACTGCCTTCGATATAATCAGATCTTTTTTCTGTTTCCAGAGCGTGTTTAAAATATGAAGCAATGATCTGCAGTTAAATTCCAGAACCAGGAATCATGGAGGAAAGTTTTCTTAATGAAGCATAAAAATATGGAATGGAAAGACTCGCTAGCATGCTGATGTGCTTAGATAGGAATTGCTGAATATGTTGAATGAGATGTATTTGTTTGCTGCCATGTTTCTCAAACAAGATGACATAAGTTGCTGGTGTAGTTGTCACTTGTTCAAATCTATTTTAATTTTTTATGCACTCACACTGATTTTTCGCAATTCTGTCCGTAAATATATGTTATACTCTGTATCCAAAGTATTGCTTTAATGTGTTTTTCGACTATTACATTTCTGAACTTCAACATTAGCAAAAATAAGGACTTTCCAACTGTTACGTGAAGTGATGGTGACTTCCATTCTATTATTCAAATGAAAAAGATCATTTCACCCATTCTTCGCAGTAGCAATGTTTGATTTTTTATCCACCGATGGGGCAATTACAAAATAAAGTGTTACAGAAATGTATTTCATTTTATATGACATTCTGGGACCAACACCAAAGAAACTATCTAAGTTAAGTTTTAATATAGCCTCACATCGTTCACTAACATCTCGCTGGTAAAAGGTGAATGTGGCGCTACGCAGTCTTGGTCAGAATAGAGTAGATAATTAATCATCCCAGTCGTACATGATCTTCTCTATAACGATGGGGAATCCTCTTCTAACACAACCACATGTCAGATCTAACTGAGTGCTGGCAAACATGAAATAATTGCTACTCACAAGTCTATAATGCTGCTTGCTTTTATTAGTCATGTTCAGGTAAAGAAATTATGATTTGAACAATTATGAAAGTAATAAATAGCTTGATGATATGGTGAAAATGGAAAAACAAAAATTTTAAACAGCTTGATACATGATGGTATTATTATAAATTAGAAATAGGGACAAGCTAAAAAAAATAATAAAGTGCTCAATCCTACATAAACAACCAATATTTTCATAGAATATATTTGAGTTTTGACAACTTATAAACTGTTGTAAATATTAAAAATTGTGAATTAATATTAAGCATTTTCAATGTCAAATTGTACAAAAAATTTCAAACTTGATAAATCAGAAAGGTCTTAACCATGAAATATACTGGTTTTGGATATTTAGTTTATATTCACCCAAGTTAATTCAAACACTGACCGATCAATCTACTTTTTGCACAGCAATATCGAAATTGCAACAGTTGAAGATAATTTCAAGATTAATGGTATTTTTGGAAAGATGATAGTATTTACATGTAAAGCAACAGCGAATGGAAAATTATCAGATCAAATAACATTTTTATTAGCCTATAACTTAAACAATGTAACAGAAATAAGTTAGTACTAAAGTTATTCAATATTTCATCATATCTGGCAAGCCCAAATTGCGACTGTTGTGTGTCATCTAGCCATGGATTTATAATTCAAACGTTTAAACCAATGGAAATTATATGTCGAATATTGACTTACCGGTAATATAACCTCCATTAAAACAAAAATCGGACCATGATTGTAACGAACCATTTATGGTTCCGACTGAAAATTTTACTATTCAGGCAAAAGTTTTACACCTGATTTTTTTGTGGTTTTATAACTGAATTATATTACCTATTGACATGGCAAAAAGTAGTCAGTTGGTCCTAATATCTTGAGATTGGGAGCATCACAAAGTTGGATGGACAAAAGGACAAAATATGTGTCCTTTTTCTGTAACACAAGTAACGGTGTTTTGTGAATGAACTCCATAGTATTGCCATCTCTATGGTGTCTGAGTCACAGCCCCAATGCCATCTACAACCAGTAACAATGCGACTTGAATACTTATAAAAAGCATTAGGTTAAGTCAGTTTGAAATTTAAAAATTTGCTCAGATGTAATGAAAGAAATGAAAATAATGATGGAATTGCCCGTTTTTGAAAATACATGGAACAAAAAAGGATGAATAATGAAGAAATATTAGGCTTTATTTAAGGTGACTGTTTCATAAAAAAATCGGTGCTCCAGAAGTGTGAGCACGAAGATGTCACACAACATGAATTCTAACCGGTACACGCATACCATGTTCAGGTTGTGCGCTATCTTGGTGCGCATACTTCTGGAGGTCCAAAAACTCTGCTTCACACTCCCAACCTATGCACTCTGAAATATCACAAATACAGCACCCATCCGAGCATATGCTCACATCAAGACTTACTCTTTGTTATACTGCAAAAACTTTCCTTTTATTTGGTGGACAGGCTTGTGCATAGCAGGCAACTCCAACATTTTTTGATTATTTCATTTGCTTCCTTTCTTGAGTATCCCAAACAGTCTGAATGATACCACCGGTTGCATTCATCACAACCCAGCTGTCAAAGAAAAGTGAGAGTGTTCAAACTATTTCAAGTTCACTTACTTTAATTATTATTAAAGAATGGGATTTTACCATTCTAATCAGCCTAATATTATGTTGCATGGGTGCGTTTTTACGGAAGATGAATAGGGTGTCCATAAAGTCATAAAATATTTTGAAATCGAAAGGGAATTTATCGATACCATATATTTTTTTGGCCCTCACAGTATTTAAATGAAGTACTTGAATTGAAAAATACTTGAACAATTAACTTATTGGAAGATAACAAACAAGCCTGGTTAAGATATATTGAGAAATGACTTCACATTTCACACCGTGGTATTTTACCCAACTCTTCTTTTGTTTTGTAATGTAGCTACAAATTATATACGTTCATGGCAGATATTACTTGCACACCAAAATGTAGTATGTGTACCAGGTTAGGCCATAATTTCAGGTACAAATGATACTACAGGACTTGGCTAGTCATCGAACCCAAAATAGAACTAAAATAAGAAAAATTAGAATAAAATTACATCCTAACCCACTACACATACTGCATTTCTGTGTCCGCCATCGTTGCTTGCATACTACGGGGATGCCAAAATTATTTAGACAAAGGAACAAAATGTCAACCAACCAGAAGTAAGTAGGTAACATTAGTACAATAAATATTCATGATGTATAATTTTCAGAGCCTAAAAAATAAATGTGAAAACAAACCCAAGTTCCATGAGATATTGCGCTGCCACATATGCTGCATACATCTTTCATATCTAAAACATTCAAGACAAATATACATATAGACTAAGAATAAATACACTACATACACTATCAATTGAATAACACATACCAGAAAATTCCAAGATCTTTTCCGCTATATCGTGTCTGTACTGAGCTAAATCGTTTAATGTAGATCGAAAACTAATGTTACCAAATCCATTATTTAATACACTTTCTGCAATCTGAATAAAAAACATTCAGTATTATGATATGCTTATTGAAAATGGCTCAAAATTCCCTATAACCTTACCTTCATCACAAACAGCCCACAGCTGAAACCGTCAGACTGTTTGGGATGTTCAATTATCCCACTTTTGAACTGTAGATCTGTCTCCAAAACTCCCATTCTCTCTCTTAACTTCAGATATTCACTTGAAATATGAAAAACAGGGTAAATAATGACAAACAGATATTATTGTAAACAAATCTGCCATATTGTATGAAAAGTGGAAATATACCTAACACTTATTTCGGCTTGTTTGCTCTCATCCAAGTTACTTCCAATAGGATCCAATAAATAACGAACGAAAAAGTTGAATTTCTCATCTAATCCGCCACCAGTCTGCGCTTGACTATCGCGTGACTTATGATATCCCGGACTCGGGTAAAATCATCAAAGGCTCGAGCCGAATCCAAGTATCAAATTACCAGAGATTCGGCCACGAATCCGAGCACGAGTCCGAATCTTGTCGCATCCCTACTACTGGGCCAGATATGCATATTTTCAGTAGCATGCAGACATTCACTCACATGAGGATAATAAGAAATGTATGATCCACTATCGGTGTACTTAGTGAAGTCAGTCAGTAGTTTATTTTATCAAATTCCGAAAGTACACATTGGACAAACATAATTAGGAGAAATAAAAATTGCTTTTCTGTGTGAAGATGACGCGATAAACTAGTGATGGTTATCGAGCAGCATCACCTATGAGAAAGTGAGTCCAACTTTACATAATACTGATGGAAAAAAGTCAAACATGTGATCAGACTTAATGAAATAAACAATTTAATTGTACACATACCATGCGTATACTCTCTTTCAAGATTGTTTTCATGCCGGTTTTTTTCATCATTGATATGTTTACCTGCAACAATAACTGATGTAAACAAGCTTTCTACTGAAGTAGACAAAAATCTATAACAATGTATTTTCAAAACAGACCTTTCGAATCAACATTTTGTGACTTCGCACTCCAAGACTGCCTACCTTTGACTTCACCACATTTTCCTGTGAACAAAAAATATAGCTAAATTCAGCTAGTACAAAAAAATAAGGTAGACTAAATAAAAAAAGGGGTACTCTCGTAATATGTGAACCAAGTTAGGGTTAGGCCATTATTTCAGGTAGAAATACTATGGGATGTACTTGACTAGTTCCCGAACTCGTAATAGAACTAAAATAAGAAAAATTGGAATAAAATTATGGCCTAACCCTAACACATATTATGCTCCGGTGTCCATCATCTTGGTTCACATGTTACGGGAGCGCTAAAAATGTATGTTCAAAACAAATATTACAAACTTGCCGTCACCTCAAATAAGTAAACATTTAACCGACATATCAAACAACAACTTAGATATATACGAGTGCCAAAAAGATTAAAAATGCAACCCCAATACCACACTGACCACATTTTAATTCCTGGAAACTAAAATATAAATGTAAACTAAAAAGATAGCACAACAGGGTGTAACGATATGTAATCTAAAACATGGCTAAAACTTATACAAACCATTTAATCTGTTCAGATGCCGCAGCATATGTGCTTTTCTTCCGTAAACGTTAAAACAGAAAGGACAGTGGAAATGGCTTCGATATGATTCTTCTTTTCGACAGGGAAGAATCAGAACTGAAATACAATAACTTTCATATAAATGATAGTTGAATGACATTTTACAAAATCATGGAAGTTGTATGATAAATTTGTTGACTGCATAGCATTCAAATAAGGGTAGTTATAAAACGACTATGTTCTGCTGTCCCTACTAAAATGGCTATGACCCTTCAATAATCACGATCCCAATATATCCCTACTAAAATGACTATGTTTATCTAAAATCGTGATCCCGATGTTTTCCTACTAAAATGACTATGTCCGCATGTCCCAACTAAAATGAATATGTCCATTCTAAAATAGCGATACCGGTACCGATAAGTCCTTGCTAAAATGGGACATAGCGCGCATCGCCTTTTTAGTAGAGACATTTCGGTAACGCTTTTTCAGATTGGACGCACAGAAATAGTCAATGCAGTAGGAACATAGCGGACATCACCTTTTCAGTAGTAGGGGCATAGTATAATGGTACATAGTCATTTTAGTAGTGACATAGCGGACATACCGGTACCAAGTCCATGCTTCCGAAAACAAACAATATAACTAATCCCATACCCGACTTGGAATGGTAACCGGACGAGAGGCCGTGGTTCGCCATATGGATAAGCAGTCACTTTCCTCTCCCCCGGGATAAATATGTACCTAAATCCTATCCTACCGGTAGCCATTTTATAACAACCCTTCAAATAACCCCATGCTTACCGGTACCATACCCTGGGCATTCAAATAAAACAGAAAAACCCTAACATTCATTAAACAAAGAACTGTACGAATGCATAGTTAGACATGAAACAGTGAAATGTATATAAACATACGGTTACTCACCGTTGAGAAATGAAACTGCATTGTCTATATGACAATGCTTCAAATGATTTTTCATGAAGGAATCTTCTCCTTTAACACCAGTACAAAATGGACAAATACCGGTACCAACATAGCAATTCACTAACTCTTCCATAAGCTCAACCTTCGATTGACCTTTGAAACATGTCTCAGTCATGATAATTTTAAAAACGATAGACCAATACCAGAATATATTTTTAACCAATGCTTTTCTGTAAAACAATCACGGAATCAAAAGATGCTAATGACAGATTGAATAGGTACAAAATACCGGTACTGAAATACAGTACCGTACGGTACCGTACTGGTACCGGTACCGATACGGTACCGGTAAGTTACAGCTATAACAGTATAACGTTAAACCTGATACGGTACCGGTACCGCACCAGCCTGCTCAAAAGCTAAATCTGTTACCGGTACCTCAGAATTTAAACATCTCAGTCTGCTGGTCTGTCAGTACACTGGACTGATACGGTACAGAAAAACAGCACATTTAATACCGGTACGGTGCGGTACCGACAGACCGATACCGTAGTCTACTGGCTCATTCAGTCTTAATAATCTGCCGCGAAACTAATGGGCCGCGACCCATTACCGTACCTGATGGGCCGCGGCCCATTACCGGTACCTGATGGGCCGCGGCCCATGGGCCATGGCCCATTGATAATGGGCCGCGGCCCATTTAGGTGGGCCGTGGCCCCGGCCCATGTGCCGTAGAAAAGTCACCACTTCCACTCAAGGCGGGGGTGGAAATGAAAAATAGACAGATCCAGTAAATTGAGGCGAAAATTCTGGGTAACTTGCAGTCATGTTTTGACATACTGTCTGTTCACCAACAGGTCCTGCACAAGATGCATTCTCCATGATTCTCTTTTTCAGAAAATGAAGTATGATAACTTCAATAACTGACAGACAGAGGCTATGCCAAGTCAATAAAATACTCTAGCCGTTTGACCTGATCAGGTCTGCAGGTATCTACTGTTCATATCCTAAATCACCATATTCCATGTCCATATCAGGTCCTTCAGTAAGTTTCAACTAAGACTAACTCAACCAAGCATTTGAGTGCTGGAGTGTGCGGGTGCATGCGCAACGCAGGGTTTTGAAGACTGAATTTGATTGTCAACAATTTCATGGAAATTTTGCTAGTACATCTTCAAGATAACAAAAAGTAAACACTGATTGAGTCAGTAGCGAATCACTAATACGTGCTTCGTCGTATTTGAAAAGGACAATTCTAAACGCGCGGCCAGCTCTGCTTTGCAAATCTAAGTTGAACCTGCACGAAAAAGTAAGATTCCCGGCTATTTATTAGCATTGATCAATCAGCTGATTGGCGCATGGTTGAACCAACGGCCGGCAACCAACTTGCCTAACGTTAAACAAGTCCATGGACGCCATCTTGTGCCATATTTGGGAAACGCGAAACAATGGAGTCTTATGGGAAAAGTTCGTCGTGTTGTTGTACCGAATCGAATAAGTCCGCTGTTATAAGTGCTAGAATGAAACTGAAAGGTGGATTTTGAACTTTAAGATATATGCTATCTAAATATATAACGCAATTAGGAATAAAAAACTATCTAATGCGCTAAATTTGACCACAAACACAGCGTAGAACTATTTTTGGTCATTTTTTCAAAGATTTTATAGTGATACGCTAATTTGAGGCTGTAAAATGTCTCCGCAACAATCCTACAATGTCATTTGTTCTTCTAGCGCAGCTTGGAGCTAAGCAGTAGAGCATTATGGAGCTTGACAGACAAAAAAATGTTAACCAGAAAATAAAAAAGGCCGTTGAAGCAAAGTTGGGTCGGCCGGTAATTTCGACGAATAAATACAACTTTTCATCTCTGACGTCATAAGGAACGCCATTGTCAAATGGTTAATTATGACGATTAGAATGGCCAATTTACTTCGGAAGCAACTCGGAACCGGTATACTTGTCTTCAAAGACAATTTAATGTACTATAAATGTAATTTAGCCAACATGAAAAGATATAAGCATGTACGGCTAAGATTCTACTTCAAAACGCGACCTTCAAAAATTTTCTACCCAGAATATTAGTGAAAATATGAGGTATGTTTCAATAATTGTGTTGGAACTTCTCATAAGGCGCCGTGTTAAATTGCCGAGAACAATAGGCACAAGATGGCGTCCATTGTCTTAGCGTTGCCTCGCTTATATTATATATACGCTTTGGGTTGAACAAGCAGGAAAACACTCTCTTCTGCATCAAGTGGTTGATTAAAGGGAAACAGAAGCTAATGGTAAGAACCCCCAGGGGCCGATGATTAAAAGCACGTCATCATAATAGCTCGACGGTATAATCTGACCTGAAGAGCTCCTTAATCCGAATATTTATCGTGACGCTGATCTGCGCAACATATTTTCAGTCCAGACAATGGAAAAAATTTTGTAAGAGTGCCTCATCCGAATTCATATGAACGAACAGACAGCTAACGCGTGGGAAATGCACGAAATATTTTAGGATTCGAAATACGGGCACCGCGAATCCTGCATGTCAGTTCATTTTACATCTCAATGACCGTCAGAAAATAAATTTTTGTGGAGTTGGTACAAAAAAGTTAAAACTTATAAGCAAATCCAGCTTCCATTCTCCAGAATACTTCAAGCCCAAAAACCCTAATCCGACAACTTGCAAGACAGCTTTGCAAGCTTTTACATCAAAAACACTTGGCAATTCACAAAAAACAGATTGATATGTTACTTGTAAACATTTATTTTTTTTCAATATATATTTGTATATACAAGCAACTCAAATTTCTATAATATGCACTTTTATTCCTAGTCACAAACAGAAAGTCGCAAAATAAACAGTCACATACATTTTAGTGAAACGGTCATGCAAATAATAAAGTAACCAGTGCTAACAAGATCAATAACCCTTCCATGAACTAGGCAAGCATGTAACCATAACAATACTAATTTTGTTTCTACCTCTGCGCTATAAGAGCAGAAAATGTGAAAAGACCTATAATTTGACAAAGTTACATCTACTGCCAATGTGGGACCTCTACGAAAAATATATTGAGAATGAAGGCAAAAAGACACTACTTTTAGGCAGCTATTGCACAAGTCAATCCCCATTGAAAAACGAAAACAATGTGCGTAACAAACAAGGTCATTCCCAACAAAAAATTGTCATATTTTCGAACTGTTTCGTTCAATGAACAAAACAAAAAAACCTCAATTCAATAGCAGCTTCCCATAACAATATTGCAATGCTCTAATAAGTTCCAACATCATCTAGATGTGCGTGATTTATATGAATGCAGATATAAAATGAGATGTTTTAAGTCATGCACTCAGTTGTTTGTTAGGAGAATAGCAATGAACTGCTGGATCTAGAGATGTGTTTTGCGGTGCTTGAGTCTGGGTTATTCCTCCGTGCAAGCCGAAGACAAATGGATGATGATTCAGAAATGTGAAATCCAAGATCCTTGGAAGCTCAAATGAAACATAACAAGGCTTGGCAAGACAGGAATTTTAAAACAAATTTTCACCTCAAGTATTTTTTGAGCAACTCAGATAAATTATTTTTTGATTCCACAATGTTGGATGAAACAGTAGTTTAAATTTATTCAAAATAACATCACTTTTTCTTTTGCGAATACCCCCAATCACCCTATCACCTCCAAAACAACTTTGATAGAAGAGCATTTGGTTAATATTACATTTCAAATTCCGTATTCTTGCAATGTTTCATTGAAAAACACATAGTAGTTCAAATTTGTATTTGTCATTAAGTAGCGCTCGATACAGCTAGTTTCTTCAAATGATCCATAAATACTTGAAGACTGACATCATCGGTTAGAACTGGGGCTGAACCATCCTGCAAATACAGTAAGATTTATATTTAAGTAGCTAAAAACACTTTAAAATTCACTAACATTACACTCTGAAGGTAAAAAAACCTTAAAATTATCTCAATTATCAGGAAAATTAGTGTTAGTTACCTGTTGTCCCCACATCATGTTGTTGTGAGTTTGAGAAGGATTGACCTTAGAAAGTAGAAAACGTGCCTGACTTCCTCCATGCTGGGTTTCGATATATCTATGAAAAACAAAAAAAGTACAAATTAGAGTTATCAAGTTGATAGAGCAACACGATAGTCAAAGATGTACAATATGCATAGCATACCAACTGTCAGAAATATAAGAATATTTCAGTTTGCAGCATAATAGAGCTTCTAGATTATTTGTGTATACGATTTACATACATCTACATCTACCCCAACATGGGTATTGAATAAACGAGCATCGATACATACAGCATCATTGTGTTTTCGACAAATTTTCTTTCTCTTATGCTATACCTAACTCTTCTACATATGTGCTCCATAGTGTGCAAAATATAGTTTTATTTCAAACAAATTTATTTAAAAAAGTCGCTCAAATCTGCTCTTATTTGAATGTCAACAACTCAATAACTCACCTTGGAATGGGAAACCTAGTTGCCAGAATATCTTGAGCATCGTCAATAGGAGCCTGCATTAGTTGTCTGAAGTTTTCATATTGTGGTTGTTCATGGTAACCAGCTTTCTTCCATTGCGCTATTGTCTGGAAATAGAATTCAAAATACAAATTGGGCATGGAAGAACCAGAATCTTCAGATTATGTAATGTCCCACATCATGGGTGAAGTGGTATGGAGGGAATGACCTCTAGTTTAACTGGAGTTCGACCCCAAGAAAACGTTTGAACTGTTTTTTGAACTATTTGTCGCGAAAAAAATGAATTTAATGAAATAGTTGTAATAAAATAGTTGTTATAAAATTGTATAATATCTTACCTCTCCATGGAAGATTAGAACTTGAAAAAACGTATCGAGCAACAAAATTTTGTCTGGTTGAATACTTGTGCTGTCGAGTAGTACAGGCTGTAGGACATAAAATACGATAAATATCTCATAATAGGAACACAACAACTAAAGTCATCATAGTACACTCAGGAAATAAACAAAGTGAACATTGCTAGCTTCTTTTAATATATTGATGACACTAGATACAACTTCACAATTTATTCTATCACAAACAAATACATAACAGAAAAGTTGGAAATATCTTGAATAATAAATAATAACTTCTAATAATTAGGTACACAAATTTTGAAGATTTACTTTCACGAAGTGTGCATCACCAATAATATAGAAATATGGAGGAAGTATTGCGGTGAGTGATCCTAAGCTTGTAACAAAGCAAAAATATTTAGTTTGACATCAACATCAATGGCAGACTTTAATAGATCTCAGGACCATTCAGGATTCAAATTTAAAATCATCATGAAATGTAATAACAACATAGTTAGCCTTAGGATTTTACCAAAGAAAGCCAATCAACTCATTTACCTCTGGTGGTCCATTGAATGAGTAGGAATACAAAACAGGTTGAATCATGATGAGAGAGTTTGTGAGATCTTGTCTGTTGACTTGGTATCTGTGATAAGCAGTTTCGTCAGGACTGTGACCAAACACTTGCAGAAAACTAGAACGTCGCAAATGAAACATGAACTGCAAGAAAATTTTAAGATGTAAATCAGAATAAGAAGTAGTTTGTCATGTTTTCCCAGGTCCTATATAACCTGACAAAGAAGTGCTTAGGTAGCAATGAATATTTTGAAGTCTTATCTGAATTTTATTTTTACTTGAATGATTATTAAAACAAACAGTGTCATAGAAATCACCACAAATCATGATTATACTGCAATAAAGAATTTTACAACTAGAGAGCATCCAAATTTTTGATGTTTGTTTCAGATAAGCCAATATCAAAATATAAATTATTACAATACATTTCATGCCTACAAATACAGACCATAATGTCTTGGACCAATCTAACAAAAGATTGATACCTATAGAAAATATGGTACTCCTGAAGTATGCGCACCAATATGTCGCATAACCTGAAACCTAACCTGGTACACACTCGAGTTCAGGTTGTGCACCATCTTGGTGCGCCTACTTCAGGAGAACCGAATACATACCTGTGGATAAAGTGAAAAATTTTCAGCAAATCTAAAAGTATCAGGTGCGTCCTTTGAAAATTCTCCAAATTTTTGGCACTGAAAAAATGAAAGAACAAATTTGTAGAAATTATTTTTTGTACAAAAATAAAAAATTTTTTTTTTTCAATTTTGTTAACGCTTGAAATTTGTGTATGTTTATAAGTCTTAGTAACCTAGGAATCTTTGTACAAAAGTTGTTGTTTTCTCCTTACATTTTTCCTTTTGAACAGAATTATTCTAATTCTTCGGACATATACTAATTTCTGTAAACAGTCAAAAGTCAAAAACTTGCGTATATTTTAAATCAATTTTTTATCTTGCACACACTGAATTTTGTTCACCAACAAAAATATTGAAAATTGACAACCAAGTCATTTTTTCATTATATTCAATTATGTATTTCATATTTTTCAACTTACCAATCTAATAAGCATTCTATCAAGCCAACGTAAGACATCGGGACCGCCATCATCCTGTGATCTTGTTATTGCCATCCTTCCCATAATAACTGCTGCTGCTTCTTGATCAAAACTGGCTGATACATGAACTTGTCCTGCTGATGGATCAGCCCAACTAAAAAATGGAAATTTGTGTAATTCAAATCTTGTTGACAGGTTGGTTAAAGTAATAGATTCAACTATGATAGCATTGAATGTTAAAATCTCAGGTTCAAATCACATGTCCACCATGATGAACCGGAAGTTTCCGTTCCCTCCAAATTATAGTAGCCTTCTTCATGGTAAAAGTATCGTATGATAAATATTTCCTACAAAAATTTATTATAAAAAAAACTATGAAGAAAAATCCTGATTCAAAACATTTGATAAAACCTTTAATTTATTTAAGGGAATTTGCTCGAAGCAAGGCCATGCGACTCACTCTGAAATAAACGAGACTCATTTCTGGGCAGCAAATTGAAGCGAGTTGAAGCAATTCAAGTGAATATAATTAATACCTGAAGTGCTTGGTTCAACAATAATAATGGTTACAAATCTCTACAGTATTATACAGGTTATCTCGAAGCAAAAAGTTTATACGAGTCAAACCTGATCAGAGGCAATTGCAATATTCAGGTCATGATGCAGAGCCCAGTTTTTAATAAAGTTTGTATACCATACCTGCGAGCTATTGTAGTTACACGGATACGGCGCTGACCACTTGAATGAATATAATTTGTGATAAACTGGACAGTTCCTCTCCCACCTTGTGGTATCGGAGTATTGTGCTGAAAAAACAAATGAATGGGGTTAAAAATTAGTTCATTATTTTATGAAACTTCAACTCACAAAATGAGCTTTACATCTAACATACATATGAGAGTATTGACCAAACTGCGTCTGTATCAAAGAATAGATAGACAAAGTGAAAGTTGAATAGGAAAACATTTTCTGGTTGTTACTTTATATTTTACAATATATTTAACTTGAAAATTTGATTTGAATATATTGAAAATGACCTATACAAGCCAGCTCCTTGTTCAGGGGGCTTTTTCATTTTTCTATTCAATTTTATTTTTCTATTCTGTACCTAGACTGTACTTAGAACTTTGTACCAAACAGTTTACAGTTTAATCATCAGTAAATACAGGTCAAAATACTATGTTTGCTCAGTAGCATTAACAAGCAGGCGTGAATGTCTAAAACTAATCCGAATCAGAGATGAATCATGCCTGATGGCACTTATCTTTCATGACCCACAGAAGGTCATTGAAAACTAAAATAATTATGTCATCATTCAAAAAGCAAGGCAAAACAACTATAAGCTCAAAGTTCAATAATTGCTAAAGATATTAGTGTCATGGTTTACAAACTGATATTCGATTGCAGAACCAGTACTTAATAATTCCAATATACTGGTAGGAAGAATGACATTTTATCATATAACATTTCATATATATATGGTCATTGTTACGCTTATGTTTATGCATATATAATTTACAATATTGCATAAACGAAGTAAAGGACTGTCAGATTCTTAAAAGATATATGTACATTTGAACAATACTGCATAAGATGGCCGAGGCCGAGTGCTTAAAGCGGTTGACTTAACAGTGTTGACATCAAAGGTTACACAAAGGTTCAAACCCCATGTCCGCCATCTCATGCGCAACAAATAAAAAATTGGGTAGGCAATGCTAACTAGTAAGCAACTTTCATATCGATCGATATCAACGGCTGCTTGTGCAGAGCCTTGTTCAGATCAAAAAGTGTGAATAAGCCTTGTAAAAAGGTACAAAAACAAATGCAATACCTGATTCACTATTTCAAAATAAATAGCTAAAGTAGTTGATGAATCAAGTCCACACAATTTCCATTGTGATGTTCCTCCAATACCAATTTCATTTTCTGATACGCATGGACTTTTGACATTCAAACTTGTGCATGGGCCGATTATACCGCTAACTTTTACTTCTCTGGATGTCTAGAAAAAAAGACGTACAGGATTGAATCTGATTTATAAAGGACAAAGGTAAAGTTCTAATGAAGTAATAATTAAGCTGAACACCAAATGTACAAAGTGCGAATCTGCCTGGAGAATTCCATATAAATAAATTGAGGAAGATAACAAAAAAAACTCCAAATTAATTTAAAATGCTTTTTTATAGAATTCAGATAAAAATAAATAATTTTGACAAGCAATAAGTTTTCATAATATATGCATTTATTTATTTATTTATTAGGTGAATGATGGAAATTGAAACGAAAAGCAAGAACACAGATTATTTGGCCCAAGATACAGGTACCACCTATATTACAGCAGTCCCAACCTATTAATAGCCTGAATAAAGTAAGTTTAAATATAAATTCACATCGATTAAAATAGAGTAAAAAGTCATCAAAAAACTCTTACCTTAACTTCAAATGTTGCACCGAAAGCCATATTAAATTCTCCCTTGCTGTCTTTTGAAAATACTTTCTGAAATGTTTGTTTGAAGAGTGAAGTATTGAAGGAATCTCCCATCACCATGATTCCACTGTAAGGAGTGAGATTTAAATAAAATATATATCGACTCAAACGTCAACAAAGTAATCCCATAAATTAAAATTTTTGGTCAACTATCATGCGTTGTAGGTGTAAAAAAAAAATTAAAAGCAATAGGCTTCTACTGACTACTTCAGTCTTCAAGTACTGAAATCTTGGTCGTTTAATTCTAGAGAAAATCTATTACCGGTACTTCTAAAAGAGTTTTGGCAGACTAACCCATATGTACACTTTGTGTCCAAAATTATCTAGAATATTTTGGCAATAGAGGATTTCAAAATCTCAAAAAATTGAAAAAACATACCCAGTATAATTAGGACAACACTTGATTTCATGTAGTCCAGTTTGATCCAAGGCACAAGAATAAACATCAATAATATGGCCGCTCTTTGATGCCCGTGTGGCAAGAGATTCGTAATGCTGCGAACATAAGTATCGTAAATTAATATTGAATTATTTATGAAACAAAGATATAAGTTTATAAAATCATCAACATGTCATGATCAAACTTTACATAAGCTGCAAAAAGTCAATAAATGAATTTGGGAATTCGACACTTGCAAAATTGTTAAGGCTATTTTAAGAGTGCTCTGCGAGTTGGCGTCTGTAAAATGGGGTATGTGTTTCAAACCATCATTATGATTCATCGCATACAACAATCTGTTTTTTAAAAATACCGGTAAAGAATTGCAGGCTAATATATCACAGCTATTTCTACACTAATTTTTATTACTGCAATTAAATTAAAACTCCTAGAAAGACAGAGTGATCATTGAAAACACAACTGAAAACTAACGAATAGAGTTCAAAAACGCGAAACCGAGGTAATGTTTACAATCACACTTGAAAATCTGTCTGAGTGAGAAAAGTGTCCGAGCGGATGCGAAAAGGGGGCATTGTTACGTCACTTTTTGCATCTTGCTGATTGGCCAATGTCACGAAGTAAACAAGGAAGTCGATGCTCGGGGAAAAGTCCATTGCGAGAAGGAATACCGAAATAACTATGGTATTTTTGATATGGAATCTTATATACCTTGATTGATTTCTTCATATGGGGTGCGTTATCTTTCTCGACATCATACCAAGATCTGATCGTATGTTCCAAATTATCATCCACAATCATACCTGGTCCTTGAGTGCCAGGCCCTCCCATGAATAGCATGATACGAGATGGAATATTAGGGAAAGAACACTGTAAAATAATAAAAACTATAAAAACTGAAAGAAAAATTGGTATGATATCTGGTAAATAATTATCCCAATTATTCTAGTTAATTAATTATTAAGCTAGTGCCCCAATGTTATTTTGTTAGAATATATTTATTAAATGAAAATCATGTCCATACATGTTTTGATCATAATGGAAAGTAACAATTTTTGACTGAAGATGTAGTATGATGATAATAAAAGAACACACATGAAAAAAATATTGTGATCTACTTCAAATAAACCCATCTGCCAATGGAGTGTTACATCAAAGCCTCATTACATTACAAGTATCAAAAAATGTTAAATTAACAGAAATCACCTCAAGAAGTCCGACTGCTATTGCAAGGGCAGTTCCCACAGATCGTAATGGTCGTTTGCCTTGTGTTACTGGCCATGGATCCCTTTGTAGTTCACCAAGTAAATCGGTTACATACATGTCACATTTGTGAAGCGGCTGCAAAAACCTGAATACATATATGAAAGGTATCATATTTTAAATTGGGAGATGAATTAAAAGTATTGAATTATAAATTGGGTTTAGGAATAAAAATACTTGTATTGTATACTTCTGGAATTTTGTTTTAACATTTAACTTTTAAATGTTCCAACTTCATTTATTACTACTCATCAGCCTAGTGCATGAGTCATATTTCGATCTTTAAACATTATTGTTATTACCTACTTTTAATGACAATTTTTCTCACCTATTCAGAGGCGTAGCATTATTCTGAGGTTGAGCAGGTTGTCCTGGTGCACCAACTTTTGGTGCTGGAGCTCCTGAAACTTTATTCAGTCCAAGCATTTCCTGAAAACAAAAATTTCAGAATGTCATAATAGCAAACATACACAAAACTATGACCATGTTTATGTACAATCTTTCGTCAATAATAAAATCATAGATATTTTGTACCTGAATTTGTTTTGCAGTTAGATCCTTCGTTCCTCTGAAGACATAACTCTTAGAAATTCCTTCTGTTCCTAGTTCATGAACTTGAACCATTCTTCCAAAAGTTATTAAACCAATGATTGCATTGTTTGGTAAAAGACTGAGTGACATTTGCAAGGACTCTTTCATTGCCTGTATTAGATTTTTTCAAAGATTTTTAGGCAGGTCAGTTGAGTGGGGTTATATTTACACCAGACATCACAATCCCAGAGTCAATTGAAAACTACTCTGGCTCCAACTCCCGACCTCGGATAGACAAAAAATTAACTCAGACTCCAGGGTAAGAAAATTTGACACCATTTTCAAAATACCAAGAGCTTTTGCATTTGGGTACATTCATTGACTATCTATTGATAATCAAGTTAATGTTCTTTCAGCTTCTGTGGGAAATAAGAATGATTCTGCATTCTCGGCGAGAAGGAGACATATATGTTTTTATTAATAGTCTGACAAGCTTAAATTTGATTAGACTCAAGACTCTAATCAAGTGAAGACAGTAGTTAATTTGACTCAAATTTGATACTTGAATTTGAGTGGGTGGGTACTGGCAGGATGAGAAAATGAAGTTTCGTAATTTATTTATACAAATAATGTTTACCTGCAAATCTTCTTCGTCCATACAAGTATCTAATACAAACAAAAATACAGGTCCAACTGGCAGTGGTGAACGAATCTGATATTCCAATGTTGTAAATTGCGGAATTAATTCTGCTGGCTGATGACTTTCCGTAATGGCAGCATAACTAGCTGGAAACTAAATACATAGTGACACATTATAAATATTTGAATTGGGTACCAAAGGAATAGAAGGCACAGACAGCTATCATCATTAATCCAAAAAATTATACTTCTGTACTTAGGTATTTCCTATTGTAAAAGAAATTTCTGAAATACATGGTAAATGATATGGAATATATTCAAGAACATTCATACTATATATTTACCAGGTAATTCCGACTAAATAAAAAATTTAAAATAGCCTACTCACAGGATTTCTTTGATAGCAGAAATTGCATGTCCATATTTTGCTTCTGTAGTCAACTTGGCTATAATGAATGATGAACAAGTTCAACAAAAGCGAACTTTAAATAAAAAAATTACGATGGCAAACAAACCAGAAGATTATTAGTAAGCCCTAAATTTCAATGCTGTAAAAAAAAAACTTCCGACTTGACATTAATATGGAAAATACACCCGGCTATAAAATTTATTATTAGCATCTTTCAAAATTCGGGATAAACATAAAATGCTGACATACCAGAGAGGGTTAAGAACAGCTCTGCAAGTTTGTCTATGGCAGCAAACTGGTTCATATTGTATAGGTGGCAGATCAGGTCTTTCCTTCAAAGGTGTAAAAAGAGATGCCACAGGAACAACAATTCTGGTAGCTTCAAGTCTTGATGACGGCCATACATTCCAACTCCATCTGATTCCATCTCTATCCTCATTTTGTTGGATGTATTCTTGGTACGTCGTCATTGTTATTCGGGAACCTTTGACTTGCGTAATTCACTTACAGGTATTTCACAATCGTCTTATACTAGTAATATGTGAAATTTTATAATGTTCGCTAAAAATATTTGTAATAATAAATATTATGACATAAATTGACTAGAATAATCGTCTTCATATGTTTCGAGGGGTAACTCATATTTTTGTTCAAAACAGTGGAAAACTACTTTGAAGATTTGAAGGATCGGATATGTTTGGATTTGGCATAGTGTTTACAAATTTTTATTTCATAAATTATCTGTCAGATTTGACTAAAGATATCAATCTTATGACTATGACCCGGCACACTAACCACAAGGCCATCATGTCCACGTTATGTACTCGTTCAGCAGCGTTCACCTCTGATTCCAAGATGTCCAGACATTTTGTCCGATAAAACAAACTCCATTTGTCTCTGCACTGAAGACAAACGGCACGTCGGCAAATGCGTCAGATCGCGCCAAGCTTGTTTCAAAAATCAATCGCGACATGTGGCCAAAGCTGCAGTTTTTTTTTTTTAAATCTCCTGGATACTATGATCAAAAAATTTTTTACTTTTCATTTATAAATTAAATTATTTTTTTTTGCGGAATCCAATAGTGACATTTATAGATTGCGTTTCCTTTTAGTTTATTGCACAGTGCTAGTTTGCCTTTGATCCGATATGGAGATCAAACTGTGTCTCGCAAGAAGGGGTTCGCACTCGCTGTTATGATCGATGTCTTTTAATGTGGGGGACTTATTTGTGATTCTGAGAACTGTGCCCTACTGTCATTGTTGACAAAACATCCAGTAGAGATTAAATGAAACATATAACAACGAAAAAATCTTCAGTGCAACAGGGGAGGAACAATGGTTTCAACTGAAACAAATTCAATAAAAAATTTTATAACTTTTCAAAGTCAAACAGCATTTATATGTTGTGGCTCCGCAGCTGGAGTGTTTTTATCTATAATAATAGTTAACTCCCATAAAGCTAAATCTCTCGTAATGAAGGGGTTTGTAGTCACAGGTGTAAGAAGTGTCTTTGAAAAGGGGGTTACTCTTGGAATCGGAGAGCGGTGCCATACTGTACCTATGAAGACAGGGACAGATCATAAATTAAACATATGGTGGATTACTTGAAGCAGAAAAAGTGTGGGCCACATTTAATATTCCTTAACTCGTAAGATATTTACCGGGTTTAGTGAAACGCAAAACAAGAGAAATCGCTGTGAGGGAATAGTCAGCATTCAATCGACAACTGATGCGGGAAATGTCGGCAGTGACAGTCCCAAGTTGAATTATTGTATGATGGCAAATGCTGACAAATAAAAATACAATAAAATACAAATATACCGTTGCCGCGCCATATACCGGTAGACTAATTGATGATTTGGGGTAATTAAGCTACCCTTCAGCACCAGTAATGCTGTAATGGGATGAGGCGCAACATTAGCCTGTTAGCGAATTTGCGTTCCTGGCTGCCTTCTGATTTACCGTACCTGTACCGTCATTGAATTTCTAAGGCCCCAATATCCAGATATCTGAATACTGGAATATGGATTTTTTTAGCTACAATATACAAAAGTTCAGAGCCTGGTATGACGCCACATATGTTAGTATATTATATTGCTATTTATATATCCTGTTTTCCGGTTCGACGATTTAATAGATCCACATATTCTTCGTCGACGTGGGACACGGCCGCATCCTGTCATCATAAACAGACGAAGTTGTAAAATGGATTTCACAAGCCAGATTCCTTCATGCGATCTAATTCGCTGTAGCAAAACCATTTCTTAAGACACGTCAGCTGTCGGCGTTGTATTCTGCAGAGCATCCAGCAGGCAGGGCGAAATGCGCATAAATGTAATGAAAATCAATCAAACATCATTCAAGACAGGTTCTCTTCGTAAGAGAACATATTAGTTTGGACTATTGCCTATTCTTACTTAATTAGGCTAGGATAGGACTTACATATTTATCCCGGGGGAGAGGAAAGCCGATGAGACGGCTCAATTATATGGCGAACCACGGCCTCTCGTTCCGCCATGGTTTTGCGGCAGTTGTAGATAGTCATAGTCATAGTCAAGTTTATTTTTTCCAACCAGTAAAATAATAAATGATGCAAAAAATAAGCAAAAATTCAAGAACATAATTTTACTGGGGAAGGGAAGCCGTGGGGAACCAAAGTTGGTTATCTAGCAGCGGCACCCAAGATTCAACTATTTAATTAACATATAATTTTAGTAGATCAATATAGCATAGAATAGTTTAGCCGTAAATATATACTAATACGGTTTTAACGAGAAATCGTCATGACACTAGGGTGTATCTGAGAGCCACGCAATACATCAGAAAGTAATTTGGGGTATTCCCCGTTTCGTAGCTTACAGGCAGTGAATAAAAGCGTGTTATGGGGAAATATTCGGGAATTTGTAGTGGCTCAGTTATCACAACCAAATTATGATAATCATTAGTTGTAGTGGACGGACAACGGGAGACAATGAAGAAAGAACAGGTATAAATGACATAAATCTATTGAAGCAGATGTTTAACCTGCCGCACAGTACCGTACCGGTACTCGAATATGAAATACCGTACGGTACCGGTAACGCTGTAACGTGATGAATAATATTCTATCGTCTGTACAGACACACTGGACTGCACAATATAACAAAAAAGAAACAATGTGACTAGGTGTTGAAGTGTTATTTCAAGTGTGTAATAAGACGCCATAAAATACTTGAAACTGCACTTGGAGAAATACGCAGTAGCTACTGTTTTTTTTTAAATGCTTTACTTCTTTTGTGGCCATCGCCTCAAGTAGCAATTGTTGGGAAAAGGTACACTTTTCGAAGGTTTGTCCCAAAAAAATATAGATAACAGTTGAAAACGGACACAGACAGCTGCACTGTACTTATCGACTATATGTTCTGGCAAAAGTACCTTTCACTGTAGTCTATCATTGGCAGTTTTCGAAAGTGACATTTGCCCTAGTCAACTCATGCAGTTCAGTGATGTTTATTGAGGCAAAATTAACTTTGTTATTTGAGTTAGTGGCGAATAGACTGGTCTCGTCGTTTTCTTCTTATGAACACATTGTATGCTTTGCTCGTAGCTGATGCCGAAGCTTCATCACTATTTGCTAATATTGATGTGAAATTTAAATGTTGTCAAAAACAGAAACTTGACACAATGGATTCTGTCAAGTCCCAATGTACTATATTGATTTTGAGATATTTATTCGGTAGAAGATCGATCAAATCCGATACCGATAAATTGAAGACTATTCAAAAATTTTCACAGCCAAATGATTGGCGTTCATATCATCGAGCACTGAAAATGTTTTTATATGTCGCAAAATAGATTCCAAAGTTAAATAATCAAAAATTAGTCCCGGCAACTCTGCGGTAGACTAAGCCAAAATTAGCCATCTGTACCTGTTAGACGCACCTGGCACATAAATTCTGATAAAATGATAGTTTTGAACACGTACACTAGCTGGTAAGTGCCAAATCTCCAAAATGTTCTCGGAATATTCATCAAAGATTTCGCAATAGTAAAGTATACAATATAAAAAAATTTTTGGAAACATCCATTAGCCTTTTAAAAACACGGCGCATTACCATCTTGTCTGAACATTCTATTTTATTGGATGACGCCAAAAAAATAAAATGGGGCACCTTGTGGTCGTTTCGCGTTTGCGTCCACGATCGTTGCGTTCTGTTAGTGTCCGTTTTTATGTTGTGTATATATTTTTGGACTCGGAGTAGACCTATCGATCGTTTTGCTATTATGTTGTTGGTATTCTTGTTGTTACTAATGGACCAATTGCTTTGAAATTTTCAGTGGTTGGAGATTGTATTTTTTGCTAGGAGGCTATTATTTTTATTTATTTATAGAATCTTATATTTCATCCAAAAATTCTCTATATTTTTATATTTCATTGTAACACGGGTTTTATTTGGCCAAACGTGGGTGCTGTTTCCGATTTGACTCTATGCGGGGATTAATTAATACGGCTAGGTGCGGTACGAAAAGTACTTTGTTTCGGACTTCGTGTCCATATCTTTGAGCATCGCTGTCTTGTTTGTTTATATACTATTATGCTACCCTTATTCGAGGCTGTGTTAACATCTGAATATGTATTAATTAAAGGACTCCGACCACCCATTTGCACATGCGAGAGAAAATACATCTTGCTCTCTTCTTCGGCCACTGGCTTCTTTTCGTTTGTGTCTCTTACTCCTGCTATTCAAAGTGGCGAGTTTCTGTTTTTAGCGAATAACCAATCTGGAATTCTTGGGTCTTCTGAACTAACAGTCACAGTGGTCAAAATCTAAACTGTGACACGTGCTGATGGTCACTCAAAGTCGGGAAAACTACGGTAGCCTAACGTACCGTCAATGTGAAAGATTAGACACCCACAAACTGACCAAGGCCTCGATGGAAGACTGCTACACCAAGACTACTAAATTGCATGAAAGATCCTGGCTATTTAATCCTCTACGAAAAATGTCAAGCGGCTCAGGCAAAAACAGTTATAAACGATTGCAGGATGATGAAAACTTCGATGTATTCGATATAAAATTCATGCACCGTCGACCAAACGCGGGTGCTTCGGGGGCAATGAAATGTCAATTGATGACGCGGGGAATATTTATTTTACTCATAATATATATATATATATATTAACTTGTAAAATAGGGATTCAATAGATAGCGTCAATTACCGGAAATGATCGTAATACCAAACCACGCGTTTCCACACATTTTGCATAGAGGTAATTTTATTGTCTCAACTTGTACGAATAACATAATAAATATGAATAGGCGATTCTCTATTTTTGCATACATGAACAATGCTGAAATTTGACAAATTAAAGTATAGCATTTATATAGTTTTAACTTTCATACGTCTCTCTTCCCTTTCCATTCTTTCTGCTTTTCCGTATGCGTCCAATGACTTTAAATAGGCCTCTTCCGCTGCGCAAAGATTGTTAGTTTCATGTAGCACCAGACCCATGTTTTTCAGAAGATCTCCAAGAATCTTGTACGTTGTCGCTTTGTGAAATTTCAGTTGTGATAAGACTTGGGCACCTTCTTTGAATGACATCGCAGATGTTTCATAATCTTTACAACAACGATATAAAAGACCCAAGTTGTTAAGACATCTGGCCTCGTGCTCAAGCCGTATGTCTATATCTGCGATATTCACACAACGCAGTAATTTCAAAATGTCTTGAAGTAACATGGGTCCCCATTTCATAGTTAATTCATGCACACAACCACCTTGTTCAATCAAACTTTCAAATATGCAGTAAGTTTTATATGAACAATTTTCAATAGCAGCTACCACCACTTCATGTGCAGTCGTTTCTAACAGGAGGAGATGGCAGACGCACTGCAATAACACTAAAGCGCGAATATTATATGAAGTAATCATATACCCATCAATAAGTTCTGTGACATCATCGACATTTGGTCGTGGTGGTGACGTCATCAAAGCTATTAAACTTTTTATACAATGTTTCGCTTCGTCTTCTCTTCCGACTTCAAAGTAACATTCTATCAGCATCAGTCGCTGGCCTAGGCTAGGAGGCATTTCTTCCAGGAGAATAATAGCTTTATGAAATTCGAACATCTGTATGAAAAGACGCGCTCTTTCTAAACAATGTTTATTGAAATAGATCATTAATTACGTCATATTTTGGGTGCCATGAGAAAATAATGTGCTTTTATTTTAACCTTAGAAGGAGTTACATATTTTCCAAGGGCGTTAAAGTCAAAGATATTTTGCATTTGACTTTTTTGCTCTCAATTAAAATCTTGGGCACTCCAGAAATATGTGTACCAATATGGAGGTAACTTTTGGTCGCCTATTTTACATCAAGTTGTGTAAAGGGACTCAAACCTATGGACAGGGGGTATATTCACTCGGTTAACACAAACAGTCCCCGAACTCGTAATAGAACTTAAATAAGGAAAATCAGAATAAAATTATGGCCTAACCATGACCTGGTACACACACTACGGGAGTACAAAATCTTGTTTTTGACCCCATACTGAATAAATATAGCATACAAATCTAAATGTGCATCATACGAAGTTCGTACCTTCATTAACAGAATTATATTGCTTTTCGACTTCGGTTTCATTCAACGATAGTTTCCTCATTGCGTCATCGTCGTTAGGTTCATATGACGGATCTGATGCAGGAACTATTTAAAACGAATTATTGCAAGGCGAATTATTAACGAATAAACATGCCGTACATAAACGAATAAAGAATAAAAAGAATTATTACAAGAATTTTCGTTTACGGCATTTTGTAGTAAAAGAAAATGATTCTTTACACGTTTTTCTGTCTACTTTCAAACATTAATATAACGATTTCCTTGCTGTAAAGGAAGGTCCAACTACCAAATAGTTTAATAGAATAAACGCCAGTTCTTTTTACAATCAATTTCACAATAATTTGATTTTATTCATACGAAATTACGTGATAGTGAAATAAGTAGCTTATGAGATGTAAACCTCAAATTCGACGATTGTTTTGACCTTTCATATAGCTATGCAAAATATTTGTAAATATGTACCTTTTTTAATTCCTTTGCACCATCGTAGAAACTTCTTTTTGCGCTCTGACATTATTTTGCATAATATGAAAAGTTCAGTGCAACGCTTGTTTGTAACACACTTCTCAGTTAAGTGAGAAAAAATGAACAGAAAATACAAAAACGTATTCAATTTACAATAAATCAAAGAAATATCTAATCACAGTAATTACGCCAATTCAAGAATAAGGATTTAAATGTAGAGAGAATTCTTTTCGATGTCGTAAATCCTCAAGCTCGGTACTACAGATACGTATAGTATTTCCCTGGTCAAGGAAATACTTTGCCGTGGGAATGAATTTACACGAAAGAACGTGAGAAATTTCAGTTTCACGGAAATTTTCGTTTCAGTAGAACACAAAATTCGTTCTGAGTCCGCAGACCCCAACTTCACTGATTATTTTTGTGCTATGTTGACGGTTCTAATATATAGCAATTTTCAATGTGACGCAACCCGGGCTACGTCATGTGACTCATTATCTGCTTGTTCTCAATTCATGTAATATGGCATATGCATACGGAAATGCTATCAATTTAGCTTATTACTAATTTTGCCCACCTTGTGGCAACCAACTTGTCACGCTACACCTCCACCATTTGGCTGCCATTGCGTCAGGTTATCGCGTATCTTCTTTATTTCCGCAATTTCTATTCGGCTAAATCAGTTTTGCTAGCTCAATTTCGCAACACTATAATATCGTATATATATTATGTTTTACCAGCCCTTGCCGGTTTCGGTGAAAGCGACAAATACCAACAGACGGCAGTCAAAAGTTATTATTTACAATGAAATATGTTTCGACATGGTTTGCGTTGGTTCTATTAATAAAAGATGAACATATTGAAATATATCTTTCAAGTGTTAAAATTTAGTAATCTGTATATCGAATATAACCTATTCATTAAATATATATTTAGAAATGGTCACATTGAAGTGCACACTGCGGGTGATAAAGGTTCACTTGCTGAAACTACGATCAGTATGGACACAATTACCTGTTCGAAATTAATGCGTTAATAGGTTCATCTCACGCGTTCCCAATGCATACAAAGAAAATGACCAAAAGCAAGCGACTGTAAATCGTTTTGTTTGTTTCGAAAAAGGAAATTTAATATAACCAGACTTCAGTACATTATCGGATAGCGGAATAAAGACTGCAAATACCCTGTTGACCCAAAGTAACTTTGATTAACTTTTTGAACAACTGCTATTTTTATCACTTTACGGTATCTGCTGTCGAACTACCAGCTGTCTATATTCCCACAAACCGCTCAGAATAGCAATAAGTTATCCCCTACCAACGTACCGCTTACAGGCTGTAGTAAATGAACGTTCGGTTTTATTTTCGTCATGTGACTCAGTTTCAGTCCATCAATTCATGAAATGTAGTAGCGTCAATGCCCGAAAATGATCCCAATCCCAAACCACGCGTTTCGACGAGTTCATATTAATATAAGAAGATGTTTCATCACGTTATCAATCTTTGTGCGATTCTCAAATTTGACAATTACAGGAGACCACAAATGAAAATAGGCTTTATAGATATAGGAACTCTGGTTATTACTGTTAGATACCCAGCATAGTCAGTTTGAATACATTGACACCCTTAACTTTTTGAGGCTGACCTACGCTGATATTTTTGAGCAGTAGTGTTGGACTACAATGTAATAAAATTATAGCATTGTTGAACGATACAAAAGCACCACATGATCTAATCTTAGTTCGTGACGGACAACTTTGAAAATACAATGATTTATAACTCGGATTTTGACAAACTTTCCTAGACTGGCAAAATTTCCGCTGCTGGAAAAGCTCATGTAGCCTGAAATGAGTAACAGTTACATTACGAGATTTCTGACTAAAGCGGCAAGTCCAAATCTGTTTCATGGCATGACCGGAGCGCACCAATTATGCAAATCGAGGGTACTTTTTTCTTTCAGTCCAAAAATTCATTCACCATTCTAAACACATCGCCATCCCTCGTAGTTTTTCTTACATTTTATCGCCATTGCCAAAACATTCAAAACTTAAAAGGTGACTGAACGACGTCAGCGATTCCGCCAATCCACATGCTAAATTTAAAGAGGAAAACTTGTTCGGGAATATTTTCTAAAATCTCTTCTATTCGTGATTTAATCACGTTATTCAACATTAGTAACCTTTAAGATTTTAGACGAAATCTCATAAATATACTCACTATTTCGTGAAAAGAGTATTTATATATTATTTTTATTTATTCTCATATTTACACTTGGTTTTATCCATGCAGTTCTGTAAGAATCCTATTTTAGGAATCTTTTGTTTCAGTATTTTAAAATTGTAATGTGTATATATATTTATCGCGATTGAATTGTCAAAATAAATCAACAGTTGCGTGTTGTCCGAAGTCTAAATGAGTAGCATGTTTTTGTGGATCAACAGGAGTTAATGAAGAATCGATATATATCAGCTTTGTTTAGGTCCCGTTACACGATATTATAAATATTAGTCGCCGTTTCGCCAGGATTGCACCTGTGTGTAATTTATGTTAGAAATCAGGATCACGATAATAAAAATATGTTGCCACGATACGACGTCAAAAATAGATATTCTCCAACGATGTCAGATATTAGTTGTGAGTTGTGACCCAAATATTAGTAAAAACTAGTTACGACGGCTCTAAAATAATAGTTTCAGAAATTGTGACATCACATCCTATACCTTTTGTCGCCCTCGGTAGTATCTGTTTTGTGTGCAACACGATTTGAGTGTTTTAGGCGACCCACCACCAACTATATTCCTGTGCATTTGTTGAATAATAACTCAAAGTTTTATGCACAATACCACCGCATCTTCTTTACACAAAGCAAATAATTTTACTCCCAAGCTCACCACAACAATGCTGAAGCAATGGACATGATTGGGTCAAGATATGAGGGTAGGATTTATATATTTTCCCGGGGGGAGAGGAAAGCCGATACGACGGTTTGCCGAGCGAAGGACAACCTAAATGGAAGTAGAACAATGTGAACAGTGAGTATAGAAACAAAATGATTGTGGGATCTGTGGGAAACCTGAACATTCTTTTCCCTTCTCATATTTTACGGTATAATTCGGTGCTGAGCATCCTACCATATATATAGATTTTTTCCTGGTACCTAGTCTATATACTTTAATAAAATGACAACCAGACTGAACAATTTAATATCAATCGAAGCAATATAAAAACTGGAGATATGCTACAGCGCGCGGCTAGGATGGATATCGCCTATTCGCTGGAAAAATCGTAACAACCAGAAAGCAACTAATTTGTGAAAATGTATTATATTTACAGCACGCTCGCATACGCTTTCCACGAGTTGTGTTTTTCTCTAAAATGGCATTTTCATAAAGTTCGTCTTCACGTAACAATTGAAATTTATCCAGCAGACCAGGCACTTTTTTTACTCAGACAAATTTTCAAGCGCGATTGTAAGTAAACCTTGCCTCGATTATGTAGTTTTAGGTTTTGATTATATTTCCAAAATATAGGTATAAATAAAATAAATTGCTAGGATAGACGACGTTAAAATCAGTTGCCATTACTTTTTAATACCAGCTGTTTCATTAATTTTAAATAAAATGGTGTTTTTAAAGCGTTCAATCTGTCGGCACACGCCGGAACTTGAAAACCCTTTTCGGAATAAGCATGGAAAATATTATATTGATAAGGTATAGACCCAGAAAATTACTCTTTATACTTTACTTTTGGAAAAAAGTTACGCCTATTTTTGAGAGTATCTTGGAGTGTTAGTTCTTCTAAACTGGTTTACATGTTTGAAAACAAAATTTGTATTAGAATTGTCCAAAAATAATAATAGCTAATTTTAGCCTAGTCTACATCTACCGCATAGTCTGCGAACCTTATTTATGACAACTGCAACTAAAGTTAAGATTCCCGGGGAAACTACGAAAACGAGGCAATGTTTACAACCTTACTTGGATATCTGTATGATTGACAGAAGTGTCCGAGCGACCACAAGAATTGCAACCTTTCTGTACTCGACCCACTGCCCTATCCTTTTCTCCTTTCCGACCCACTGCCCTATCTCCCTAACCTTCTAATCCTCGACCCTCTGCCCCATCTCCTCAACTTTCCTATCCTCCATGCACTACCTATCTTCCCTCTCCTTGACCCACTGCCCTATCTCCCTCAAACTTCCTATCCTCGTTCCACTGCCCCATGCGTTTTCATCCTCTACCAACTACCCTAGCTTACTCAACTTACCTAACCGCGACCAACCGCCCAAACTAACCGCGCTTCACCCACGCCCGATCGTCTCACTGAACCCTGTTTGCTTGTGGTTATGCGAACTTTCAGGTTTTCTACTGCTCGAGTATGCCAATGAGATGATTGAAGCGTACGTCGACGAAACAAGCTAATATGGTTGACGGCATTCGTGACATATTATTATGGCTATATTTCAATATGAAACAAACGTATAGCTTCAGTGAGTGTAAATGATGACAAAAATGTTTGAAATCTTCGAAAGACACTTATTTACATCATTTGCCAGGCCATTTAAATGTAGGCTGCAATTGCAAATGGTAATCAATACCATAATAGGTAGCTCAAAAATTTGCTACTTGTTAGGCCACTGATGGCCCTGTTAGCGGAAGCACGGATAAAGCTATTTTGAAAAGTGAGTCAGATTTCGGGGAAGGGAACGATCTGTCAATTACACTAGTCTTATCACCGAGTCCGCACAATTGTCCTAGTTTTTGAAATGTTAATGATCTTCCAGCGCGCATCGGGTCATTCTCTGAATGTGGAGAAGTCATAAATTTTAAATGTATGTGAGAACAAAGAGGTCCCTTGAGAAAACAAATTTCGGAGCGGCGCGGTTGAAATTCTGGAAAAGGTACGACAAATCGAATATCATTCGAAGAATTAAGAATTAATCGGAACCAGTGGCGTAGCAAGACTCTCGTGCCCCCCCCCCCCCCCCCCCACCCCGCAAAAATATTTCGTGGAAATGACTTTAAAAACTCTCGGACATACATGTCTCTATTAAAAGGTAATGGTAACCTAAAATTTGACGTTTATCTTGGTAACTTTAATTTTTTTCATACGTGCTTCCTCTTCTGCCCTTTTTCTGCAGGTTTTGCTTTCGACATCATTCTGACAGCCTTCGTAATTTTGCCGGTGCGATCAAACCACAACACGCCGAAAATCGACGATTACCTGGCATAGTTACGTAACAAAACGGTTTAAGCAGAACTGACATCAACGTTATAGAATGTGCATTACTGGTTTTGCAATGCAGCTTTGGTTTTGCGGCTTAAATTTCTAAATTCTAACCGCTTGGGCCCCTTTGCGCTGTGGGCCCTCCCGCGACCGCGGGGGTGGATGCTACGCCACTGATCGGAACCATCACGCAATCCAAATAGACAGTCACTGGCAAAACCTAATAAACATCTGACACACCATGGATTTAAATCCAATCGAATGGGAAGACAAACGCTGAAAACAAAGGACATATAAATACAAGACAGCTATGCTCAAATATATGGACACGTAGCGCCACCCAATGGCAATAATTTTGATGACGTCATAGCGAAAAAAAAAGTAATAGCCTTCTGGAGAAAAATTTTATCTTTACCCACTGAAAATTTCAAAGCAATTAGTCCAGTATTCGAAGAGAAAAGCGATTTTTTAAAAATGGAGACGGAGACAAATAACAATAACAACAAAATTTTGAAACGATCGTTATGTCCACTTCGTGTCCAATAATGATTCGGAATCTAATGATGGGCTGAAAATAAGTTTACTTGAGCAACTGGCAAATAGCCTGCCACATTTCACGAACCCAGAACGCCAAGCCGCCTACCGAATAAAAAGAGAGGCTCACCTATTTTTTGCATTTGACTCCAAGTATAATCAGCTTGGCAACATCTTTTTAATAAAAGTTAATCTTTACTGTTCACACTGCGCAAATATTGTTTTACTGAGCAAGACTATTTTGAGGCTGAGCAGAATCCTAAATTATTTGCAAACTTTGTGAAATGTAGTAATAGCAGCTTATTATATATCATCGGAATGCGAGCAAAGCACACGTTTAACTCAAATAGCTTTTTTTTCGTTTTCGTGCCTTTCCAAGGTTTATACATTTTGTCCGTGTTTGTTGTGTTTATTACAATACTTGATGTTCAATCTCGACATTTTTGTTGTTGAAATATCATTGCTTTCATCAAAATCAGAGTATGAAATATTGCTTGTCTTATGCTCCGAATGATTTTTTTTCCCTGGCGACAAAGTCTATGCTTATCAAAAATTCGAAGCCATAATTTTTGCTTCACCATGAATGTGGCAATTTCGTGTATGTTGACATGCGACTATTTATTAATTTGCCGGACAATATTGATGAATTCAGCTTAAAACGTGGTGGAACACTATCTATGTGAGGCTTCATTTCACGTGATGGGGTTTTCAAAACTTCACTTTCTTCAGCGGTCGGTATTGTGGTGAAAAAGTTTAAACAACCTCCTCTTGCTTCCACGTTTCGCTTAATCGTTAATGCATCTAGTGCGTCAATGTGCTTTTTATTATTCAAATGGCGTTTAAAATAATCAACTTCTTATTTCCTCCCATGATTTTCTTTTTACAAATCACTAACAGGTGCCACTTCCCGACAAACTTTGTGGATTATCACATTCCTTGACGTGGAATAGCAATAAATTTGCAAAGTTTAGCAGTTGTTTTAGCTTATGCATACCGGTATCAAGATTGCAAATTAGTGTCGAACACTTCACTGTTGTATTTAGCCATTCCACTTTAAAATGAATTTTCTTATTTTTAGCTTTACTCCCCTGAATAGACATTTCACACACAAACGTCAGATAAAGAAAACTAGTATATTATTGGTTTTGGTTAATATGCTGAATATGAAAACGCTTAAAACTTTTTTTAGTATTTTCTAGCGAGACATACTCACAACATCGCTATATAACATCGGTATCATTCAGTATAAGCTCATGGCCACGTGTGTACCAATCTAGAGATTTAGGAGCCAACAATGCTAGCACTCGCTTAAACTCGGCCATTCTTCAAATTCCAACTAGTTTAGCCATATATTTACGGTTTAGCCTAACCATACGGCTACGAGCAACCAACTAATTTCCTGTAACAAACAATGGGCACCAGCTTTGCAACATTTGATACCTATTAAAATTCTTAATTTTCCCATATCTTCATCTGTTTGATTACACTACGAACAATAACAAGATTTAGCCGGGTCGACAACACGAAATTCAGAGCGCGCGATGAAAATTTTAAAAACCGACCCACGCTGGCATACAAAAATCAAGGTATTCGTGACAGACAGGTGTGTGACATCACAATGACTAGTGTTTACCAGATAACGCGCGAAACATAAAACGAGCATTCTAGTTGAGCGTTAATAAAAATGACATATGAAATATGAGCCACGATTTGAAAACGAAATGTTGCAACTGCGCGAGAATGAGATTTTACTGCGCAAATGTTCTGGTGGTACTGCGCAATTGCGCGGTTGCGCAGCTTAGAGGGAACCTTGGTTCACTCCTATTTATAAAATCGATCAAATCGGCAGTGGCTACCATTATAAAATTCTTAATATGGTGTGGCAAGTAATTTTTATTTTTTAATATTTACTACCATTATGTAATTTATCGCGTTTTTTTTACTTTATAACTTCTCTATGGTTGTGTGGGTGTGTGTATGTATGGGTGCGTGCAACGACTACCATACCGGGTGCGTGTGAGCGTGTGTGAAATAATTCAATTATTCAAGGTGAGTGAACACGAACCACTTCTCCTTAGCAAAACCTTTCATCTTATATACATTCTGTACGTTTTAAACCGTATTATCTAAGGTTTTGTTTGCTCTCCTGATTTCATAATCAGTTTTTATTTATTTGTTTTTATCAATCATTTTATTGATATGATGTCGAAATAAACTAATGCTCATTTATAAACTTACTAATATTCGGTCATCAGAAGTGGAGATATGGGCTGACAAAAAACAGGAAACGCCACTCAGGATTTCTTGCGGGCAATAACGGAGGCGCAGTTCTTACCACTTCATGGCAGCTCCTGCCACGAACGAACCGCGGTAGCTCTTGCCATGGTTTTATAGCGCTTTTCAGTATTCAGTAATTAGTATTAACGGTATATTTACAAATTAATGTACCAGAATTTAATTGATCATGTGGAATTATATCTACTTAAACCCTAACCCCAAATCCATCAAAACTGTATCCATAAGAAAAACGTTCCAACTTACCCAATATTTGTCACCATAAGGGACAGCCCTGTCTTTACGGCCCACCTGCCGTGGTTATGGCAGGAATATTTTACCTGCCATTCCCTCACCCAGCTGCACATCAAACCACCTAAAGGAAACAGCCATGAAAAAATAGAGACCCGTATAGTGATATGCTTATGATGCTTCGCGATCGACGTGTTGGCCACCCCTGTTCTATAATAATTGCGGGTTAATGACATGCGAAGAAATTTCATTCTGGAAAAGGATATGACAGAACATCCGTTGAAAAACTATGAACAAGCGTGCAAATATTTCATTATTTTCTCATTGTTTTTCTTCGCACGGAAATATGGGTCACCTCAAATGAGTTTCTAAAACGAACTCAGATATGTCAAAAATTTATTAATTTTTATATATATCATAATAATCCTTCTCAGTCTCAGTGAAATTAAAAGAAAGTTTATTTTAGGTTAATTTAATAAATTCTAGTTTGAACTTTGATTCATCAAAGATGCAATAGACTTTAGCAACGAATTTCAAAGTCATTGTGATCCGAGCTACCCATAGACCCACAATGATATATTTATTGGGTGATATGGAAAGACGCAGTAAATCGGTGACGGTTCGGACACATTCCCGATTTTATTGATGCCTTATCAGTCAGCAAAGTTTGTACGTTTGTTGCTCTGCTCGGCTTAATCATTAAATTCTGTGTAAAAGATATGATTAAAAGCGGCCGACATCCATGCCAGAGGCCGGAGAAAAGAGCAAGAGATATATTTTCTCTCGCACGTGTAATAAGTGGTCGAAGTCTTATAATGCAAATTCGAATGTTACCACAATGCTAACACCCGTCAAAACCATTGAGATTATATACACCTCAATGGTCAAAACAGTATTAAATAAGAGCAGTGGTGGGTTTCAGCCGGTTCGCACCGGTTCTATAGAACTGTCTCACGGGATTTTATGAGATCAGCGAACCGGTTAGCATTACTGAATACCCTCAATGACATTTTGTAACAGAACCGGGTGGAAAAAAATATGATTTTTGTGATGAAACCGGCTGACAAAAAAAAAATTGAATCTCACCACTGAATAAGAAGTAGCCATATATAACAATAAAAATTGTGTGCATTGGCGTGCTGCTGTTTATGGGTCAAAATTATAAAAAAATATATATAAATTTTCGTACTTCAAGAGTTTTATCAATCCCGTAATTCTTATGTAAAAAAAATTAAAAAAAAAATCGCCACTGAAGACAAAATGCGATCCCGAAATTTCAAATTCAGTTTCGGAACCTCAGCCCTACTTGTATGAGACCTGAGAGACAGATCGCAGTCCGGCCGACGGTACCGGGAACTACAGAGCGAGTGTAGTGTAGGGTACTTTTATTGGTTTATATTGAACTCCATCACCGCACAAAATGACAAAAAAATGTAATGTTAACTGTTTCATATACTAGTAATCATTTAGTGGGTGTTGTTGGTGGTGCAGCTGCCAGAACCATACCGGTACTCGCCAATGATAACAGTGCTCTAAAAACTCAATTCCCGACCTTATAATTTTTAACTAAAAATTAACCTTGAATGACGCCACTTTGTATTCAGATATTAAACTATAAATAACTACTGAACTACTAATTTTATAGTCATATATATTGATCATACCCTTATGCTGATTGCTGATATGTCTGTACTGCTGTACGTGAAAAATTTATCATCCTACTGTCCTAGACTTGAAAAAGTGTTGTAGTGAGCTACGGTACTTATGATTGTATGAAACAGAGTATGTCATACCATACTGTATATTTATTACTTATCGATTTTAATCGGCAAGTATGTTGATAGGTATTTGTTTGTCTGTTAGATGCACGCGATATCTCACGAAAGCGAGATTGAATCTGCTCCAGATTTTGCATGTGCATTCATCTTATCTCGGACCAGAAGCCTATTGATTTTGGGCCAATTATGTCGTATACTGGTATAATTAGCGAGTTATCAATCAATTATTGATGAGGTGATCTAGATTTTTGTAAAGCGAGAGAATTTTGAGACCCGCCGAGTGTGTGTGTGCGATGCGCAGTGCGCAAGTTACAAGAGCTGATGAATCGAAACTGCAGTTTCTGTTTTGGGGGATCCCCTAACTATCGATCGATAAGTCTTCGGTTTCTAACCGATATTCTCGTTATATAAATTAATTATGATTTTTGATCACTTCAGTTTTCGCTTTACATAAAAAATGTGAAATTTTGTCATATAGATGACTTATTTTAGGAGATCAAAATTGCAAAAGGAAATTGTTTTAACTGGATATTATGGCATCCTTGATGAAAATTTATGTAGGTGTTTTGTCCCGATTATTGAACAATGCCTCTTCGTGTTTCTGCAAATCTGTTTCATACGCCACAACAGAAAAATATGATGTTATTGTTGTTGGAGGAGGTCATGCGGGATGTGAAGCAGCACATGCATCTGCCCGGATGGGTTGTTCAACATTACTGCTGACTCATAAGATTTCAACAATTGGAGAGATGTCTTGCAATCCATCATTTGGGGGAATTGGTAAAGGACATTTAATAAAAGAAATTGATGCACTCGATGGTGTTTGTGGGCGAATTTGTGATAAATCAGGCATTCATTATAAAATATTAAATCGAACTAAAGGGCCAGCTGTGTGGGGACCACGTGCACAGATTGATCGTGGAATGTATAAAAATCAAATGCAAGAAGAGATTTTGAACACGAATAACTTGACAGTTATGGAAAGTAGTGTCGACAATCTAATAATTGATAAAACGGATTCAAATGAGAAACTCAAAATTACTGACTCTATTTCAAAGTGTTCAGGAGTTATTCTCGAGAATGGGCAACAAATTTCAAGTACTTGTGTTGTATTGACTACAGGAACATTTCTTAGGGGTCAAATAAATATTGGGCTTGAGCGAGTGCCAGCTGGACGTAAAGGAGATGCACCTGCGATAAAATTGGCTGATACTCTCGAAAATTTAGGATTTAAAATTGGGAGGTTAAAAACTGGAACACCTCCCAGATTACTAGCAAGTTCTGTGAATTTCAAACCATTTACTACTTGGAAACCTGACAGTTTTTCTCATCCATTTTCATTCATGAATGAAAACGTGTGGATATCACCAGAAAATCAACTTGATTGTTATACAGTGCCAACAGGCGCTAAAGTTAAAGATATTGTGCACAAAACATTACACCTTAATTCACATGTCAACGAAGAGATAAATGGCCCAAGATATTGCCCATCAATTGAATCTAAGATTCTAAAATTTCCAGATAGAACACATATGTTATGGGTTGAGCCTGAGGAACTGGATACTAAAATATTATACCTACAAGGTTTTTCTTGCACAATGCCAGAAGAGTATCAACTTGAGGCCGTTCGGTCTATAGGGGGTTTGGAAAATGCGGAAATCACACAGCCAGGTTATGGGGTGGAATATGATTATATGGATCCAAGGCAGATAACGCCAGCCTTAGAAACAAAGAAGGTGCAAGGATTATTTTTTGCTGGTCAAATAAATGGTACTACAGGTTATGAAGAAGCAGCTGCCCAGGGTATAATTGCTGGAATCAATGCTGGACGAAAGTCACAAAGAAAACCATTTTTCTATCTAAACAGATCAGATGGATACATCGGTGTGCTCATTGATGATTTAACTACTCATGGCACCAATGAACCATACAGAATGTTTACAAGTCGTGCTGAGTTTCGACTGTCGCTGCGGCCTGACAATGCGGATACGAGATTAACTTTGAAAGCTTATGAAGAAGCAGGCTGTGTTAGCGAAAAAAGAAAGCTAAAGACCGAGAAAACTCAATGTATTTTAACAGAATCCGAACAGTTCCTTAAAACTGTAAAAATGAAGATTAGAGAGTGGAGTAAAATTATAAATGTTGAAAATATTTCAGCTACTCGTGCTATCTCTGCTTTCGAATTACTTTCACAATTCACTGGTGTTACTCCAATGCATATTTACAAAACATTTCCAAATGAATTAAAGCCTGTCATTGAAAATAAGTTATTGCAAGAAAGACTCGAAACTATTTCGCTTTATGATAGAGTTGTCCACAGACAACTACAAGAAATAGAAGAATTGAAAAAAGAAGAAAATATTATGATTCCAGAAAATTTTGATTATTCAAAAATTGTACTCAAAGTTGAATTATGTGAAAAACTAGCCCAGTCAAGGCCAGTGAATATTGCTGCAGCTAGCAGGATACAAGGCATGACACCAACTGCTTTAATATATTTAATAAATTATATCAAAAATTTTCGATATTCTTAAATTGAAAGAAAGAATCTTCATAATTTTACCAAATTCTGGAATTTATCTTTATGTAAAAAAATGTGATGTGTGCTGTGAAATATTGCATAACTTGCCTTTTATTTACATATTTCCACTGGCGTGACAATCATATTTATTAAAACTGTTCTAACTCAATCAATTGTGACCTTTCTTTTGTTTGATGTTGAGTTACTGTTATCAAGGAAACTACTGTTCTAAACAAGTTTTTCAAAAAACAAATTCAATACCACTTAGCTGATCTCTCTATAACGCATCTGGCATCACACCATCGTCACTTTTTTGCTTCAACATGCGTATCTGTTTATTTTTCAGTGCTACATCATTCAAGATTTGTAAAATAATTTAATATTGACAGAAAAATGATAAAATTGAGTGACATCACCGATGAACAATTGATTGAAATAGTGCAGGAGGCAAGAAAAGTTGAAGGATCATATTTGAAAATTGTAATTCCCAAACAAAAGTCACATGATGACGACGATGAGAGTGTAATAGTCGATGTTGAACAAGATATTGACGATGAAGAAGAAGATTTTGATTGGGAATATGAAAAACAGCACGCACAAAGTATAGTAGAAATTGATACTGGGGATCGAGATGAGTCAATAGATATTGACGAACAGGACAATCAAACTTTTGGAGATATGTGTAGATTAGATTCTCCCCAGATTCAACGTATGAGCATTCTCAGTCCTGTTAAGCAATATAAAAAGTGGAAAACTTGCTTAATTTGTGAAAAAATATTTCCAACGAGACAACAATGTGGTATTCATTACTTTTCTGAACATGTGGCCATGAATGCTGAAGAAAGAGAGCTTGCATTCAAATTAAGTAGATTCGCATGCGGAGAAGTGGGATGTTATGCAACATTCGGATCACCAAGTGACTTTTTGGACCATTGTCTTGCTCATGAGAATATTTTTCCATATATTTGTACAGAAAAAGACTGTGATGAATATTTTCCAAGCCGCAAAATATTGTATCAGCACAAAAGAAAAGTTCACCGCACCAATAAATTGTTTTGTGGGGTTTGTGATGCTGTTTATTTGACGGCAAGTTCCCTGAACAGGCATATGGTAACTCACACAGGTGGTAAGTATGAATTTAAGTTTCATACTGCATATTTCCTATATTAGGAAACATACAAAGTTTACTTTTACAAATTGCAACATGAATATTTGCTACCTCAAATATTTATTTTCTTATCAAGTTCTATGTAGACTGATTGACACTTTGTTGCTAACTCATGAAACTGAAGATATTGAATTGAACTGCCTGGAAAAATACAAACTAATTCTAACTAAAATATTTGATGCCATGTAGCAAACTCATGAAACTGAAGATATTTGAATTGAACTGCCTGGAAAAATACAAACTAATTCTAACTAAAATATTTGATGCCATGTAGCAAGTTAGCTGGAGAGAAAGATGTTACGAGAGACTGTGGAAACACACACTATCACACCATTTCTGTTCACTTTTAAAATTTTCCAACTAACACTAAATCACTCAGTTTTAATAAAGATTTGTACCTTTATTAAGAGATCACCAAATATAGATGTTTGTCTCAGGAGTTGGTAGTAAAATTCTGATTGAAATTATATTTGGTTTGACAATTTTCCATACCCTTTGTTTGTCTTATTTAGATAAAAGCCTTTACCAGTGTGAAATATGCCTGAAAGAATTTGGCACAACATTCAACTTGAAGCGACACAGGAAAACCCATATTGCAAAAACTGAAGAGGTAAGGTCCTAATTCATCCACAATTGCATATATATCTGCAGTGTTATTTGTAGAAGTAAAATTCCATTCCATTCTAGGAAAAAATACGTACTCATGTTTGTGATATTTGTGGTGGAAAATACATATCAAAAGATACACTAAGAACACACACTCAGACAGTACATGCAGATGGAGAAAAACCGCATACTTGTGACTTATGTGGAAAGTCTTTTTATAGAAGTTTTGTATTGAAGAGGCACATGGTTACACATACAGGTATTTATTTTGACCTATATTTCCTTACTCAAAGTTACCAATTTTTGACTCCATTTGTTTTAAATATATCAGTGATATTCAAATTCCCCTTCATTTTTATCATAAAGCATTTTCCCTATCAAATGGTCCCTAGTTTCAAATCAGTGATGTTTTAATCTCAAAGTTGCCAAATATGAAGTACATTTCAAACCTGCACGTCGGAAGCACCCAAAGCACATGATTGGGCGATATGGTATTCGCTTTTCCTTTTTTAATTTTAGGAGAGAAGCCATTTGAATGTGAACAATGTCATGCCCGGTTTGGCACCCAATCTTCCCTGCAACGCCACATGAAGAAGAAAAATCATTCAAGGGAATTAAATCTACAAATTCAATCTATCGTGAAAATGTGATGTTAATGTTAAAATAGCTTAAATTCCACTGCAATGATTTGCATGATGATTGGATAACAGCTTTTACACATTTTCACTGCATTCAGGTAGTGGGGGAGATGAAGAAATTATGGATTCGGACATGAAGAACAGGAAATGTTCAACTACATGTATTTTTTTAAATGATAGTTTTGGTTAATTGTGAATGTTTGTTTGTTCATTTGAATAAAGTAATGGACTATTACGTGTAACCGAGCTCGTTCGGACATAACATGATGAAAAAATAACAAGGGCACAAGGCGGTATTACCAAATTGATAATACAGTTCTTCCACCTGTTCTATTTTTCTGACAGATTCATATTAGAACAATATTGTAGTTTACCGCTGTCTGGCAAAGCAAACTGGTGGCCAGGCCAATTGGTGACTATCATTGATTATTTTTGTGTTAGTTTAGTCTAAATGACTAAAAAGGTAGGTATCAGTGACTAAAAAGATGGGTATCAGTAGTAAATGACTAAAAAGGTGGGTATCAGTGACTAAAAAGGTGGGTATCAGTAGTAAATGACTAAAAAGGTAGGTATCAGTAGTAAATGACTAAAAAGGTAGGTATCAGTAGTAAATGACTAAAAAGGTAGGTATCGGTATACAACCAATGGGACTCTTGCAATGACAGGGTATTGTTTTTTCGTTATTCTGTAAATAATATTCTTTTTGTAACAAATATCTATTGAATTCGCGACAGTGCTACCACGCAGCAGTAAGGATCAGTGATTAAATAAATGGGCAGCCATAATTAGTCACTGATACCTACCTTTTTAGTCACTGATACCTACTAGAGATGTATCGGATATCGGCCATTTTTTCGGTATCGGCCATGTATCGGTTAGATTAAGGCCGATATTCCCGATATATTTACTTTTTTGATATGGTCCCGAATGTTTTGAAAGAATACTACTTTTTAATTTATTTTTATCTGGGGAGATCGTGAGCTATGAGCCATACATGTCCCCACCCCCGCGAGAGAATAGAATTCACGTGTTTTTAGCTATTTATCAGCTAAACTAGCTCAACTAATTTGGCTATTTTCGCTGTCAAATTTTTTATATTGACATTTTTAATATTACATAGTTTTTATGAAGAAATATATCAACACAGCACATAACAAAAAGCAACTTGGCGCCCAGTTTTAAATTATACAGTGGAATTGGGGTCCTTCCTTATTAACGGCACATGGACTTTTGGCACGGGTATAAATTCTGACTGTTTGTCGTCAAGTACAAGTGTCATTTAGTCCGTCGACATCGATAAACTAAATTCCGACACAATTATCCCACTACACAGGTATTAATTTTAATTCTGCTTAACTACACGATTTCTTTATAGATATATTGACTTGACCGCCTAGCCCTAGACTGTCTCAAAATATATGATAGCAATTGTAAAATATTATAAAATAGTGAAGTAAAAAAACATCCTCAACGGTTATCGGTGGGCCCTCTTTTTGTCGGTGCTGATTGATATTCTTTCATGTTGGCTTTGACTTATTGCGTCGACGATTACGATTAGCCACTAAATAAAATATTTGTAAAATGCTTTTAATTTGAACGTAGGACGGCGGCGCTAGAATGTGTGGGTGATATTCGATATTCTTTTAAACACGAATAACGATATTCGAAGCTCGCGATATTAACATTAAATTCAAATTGGACATCCCGGCTTATGAGTTTTCTAATTGAACACCGAGATTACTAGCGTTACTGTACAATGTATCTTAACCCTTTGACAACTTACCGCCCCAGTCAAACTTATTGCATGTATTCATAACAATGAGACCATTCTGCTAGCACCAAAAGTGCTCAAGCCAGACGCTCGATCGAGCGCCTCCTACATATTAGTCGAAACAACGGCTCGCTCATTAGCATCGCCTTTGTACTTTAATATTTTTTTGTTTCTGCCGCTATCGACACCGAGGCGCCGCTTCTGTCGCGACGCGGCACTCTCTCGCCCCCCGATGTAGAATGCCGATCACCGTGCGCCGGACGGCGCGGCGAAAAAAAAAGACAAGTCCAACAACACGATGGCCCGGCGAGTGAAGTGAAAAAAAAAGTCCCAAAAGGACAAATCGAAGATCTTGAGGATGACTCTCAACACTTCGCAGTGAGAAACTGCTCTAGTGGGTACGACACCCCAATCTTCAGCTAAGTTGCCTGCAAATGATTTAGCATCTCGCATTAGCGCAGCTTGGCCGCCTTGACTTAGGCGCAAGTCGTTCAAGGATACCATCCTCGCTAGGGTCACCTTAGGACACCTGCGTTACACCTTGACAGATGTACCGCCCCAGTCAAACTCAAACTCAATGCATGTATTAGCTCTAGATTTACCACAGTTATCCACTTCGCTTACGAGCCCTAATAAACCAAGGCTGATTTAATGAGCCATTTGCAGTTTCACTTTACGAGTACTCGTAATCGCAATTGCATGGCTTTATTTTTGAGACAAGCATATCACTACTGGCAGGACCAACCAGATAGCTGCGACAGCTGCGCTCGGCCCCCTCGGGCCGCCCGGCGCGTGCTCGTCGCATTCGTTTGAATGTGGCTTATCTTTGAGACAAGCATATCACTACTCGCAGGACCAAGCAAATAGGTGCCGCCCCAGTCAAACTCAAATTTATTGCATGTATACATAACAATGCGACCGTTCTGCTAGCCCCAAATGTGCTCAAGCCAGACGCTCGATCGAGCGGCGCTTCCTACATATTAGTTGAGACAACGGCCGCTTCTGTCGCGACGCGGCACTCTCTCTCCCGTCTTTCAAGGATACCATCCTTGTTGAGGTCACCTTAGGACACCTTCGTTACACCTTGACAGATGTACCGCCCCAGTCAAACCCATACTCAATGCATGTATTAGCTCTAGATTTCCACAGTTATCCACTTCGCTTACGAGACTTAATAAACCAAGGCTGATTTAATGAGCCATTTGCAGTTTCGCTTTACGAGTACTCGTAATTGCAATTGCATGGCTTTCTCTTTGAGACAAGCATATCACTACTGGCAGGACCAACCAGACAGCTGCGCTCGGCCCCCTCGGGCCGCCCGGCGCGTGCTCGTCGCATTCGTTTTCGAATGTGGCTTATCTTTGAGACAAGCATATCACTACTCGCAGGACCAAGCAAATAGGTGCCGCCCCCGTCAAACTCAAATTTATTGCATGTATACATAACAATGCGACCGTTCTGCTAGCCCCAAATGTGCTCAAGCCAAACGCTCGATCGAGCGCTTCCTACATATTAGTCGAGAACGGCTCGCTCATTAGCATCGCCTTTGTACTTTAATCAGTTACAGCATATGGATACCAAACATTAATTTCATATTATGTGATATCTATTTTTTTTCGATCTGAAATAATGTGTACTATGAACAACGCTCAAAGACCATTGTTTAACCCGTCTGCCCTACACAGCATACCTAATTAAGTAATATTTACATAGTATCGGAATATCGGCCTTTTTGTAGTATCGGTATCGGCGTTTCAAGATGGTATCGGTATCGGCGACAAAAGTGGTATCGGTACATCTCTAATACCTACTATTTTAGTCACTGATACCTTTTTAGTCATTTACTACTGATACCTACCTTTTTAGTTATTTACTACTGATCCTTACCATGAGTAAAAGTGTGAGACGAGGACTTTAAAAACGCCCAGAAAATGAGTTTCGTAGCGCACTGTAACTAAATAAATTCTTTAGTTTTGTATGAAAATGAACATACTGAACGCAATACAGCTTGTTCCACACGATGGAATTTCGCTGCGGCGAAAAATTCTGCATTAAAGGAAAAGTTTGAACATCATTTCTGAACGTAGAATTTAATGCAGTAAGACATAAAATAGGTTAAATTTTCAGAATAATATTTGGAAAGCCAACAGAATATATTAAACTTTTTGATAAATACAAAGTGTGAAGTCCGATAATTGAAAATGACAGAAGCAATTTCGCTGTAGTGAAAATTGTGCAATAAAAGAACAACTTGAATATCATTTCTGAACGTAGATTCTAATGCAGTAACACATAAACCAAGTTAAATTTTAAAATTTTTTAAAAAAGCCATCAGAACATATTAAGTTTTAGGAGAAATACAAAGTTGAAGTTGAAACTGTCAAAAGCAATTTCGCTGTAGCGAAAAATTCTACATTAGGTGATCTATGTATCATCTGTGAAGTTTTAAAATGACTTATGCTTTATACAAAATTTGATCACCACTTTCGCTTAACTTTGCATGCAGCTGCCTAGCTGGATATATTCAGGATATGGATTTCAATCTTAATTTAGCATATGATACAGTCCGACTCTTGTATTCAGATAGGTAAATATAATATTCTAATATAAATAAAATAATAATATTCTAATGTAAATATAATAACGACTTGCCATTGTAAGCATGTAGAAGGGTAAGTATTGTAGACATGGAGTGCATCTTCAGCAGTTGACGTTAAAAACTCCCCTTGAAAACTTGAACCGCATTTCCTGTCACGATGTAAAAATCAAATCATGTGACGCTATCCTCCATGAGCTGTGTGTCAAAATATAAAGTCGCGACAATGTCAAGGACTAGAAAATATTAAACTTTGTTTTTAATAAACTTTTTAATATTTTTAAATGTGATCGCAATGAAGTTATCACCCATGTTCTGATCTGTTTTAAGGAGCTCTGGTTTGTAATTTTAGATCGGTTACTAAATCAAGATTATGTTGTATTTTACAGACAAAATTTAAATCACGCGTCATGCATAGACGGAGTCAAAAAAATCAAATTTAGAATATGAATCCGTCCTGCACAAGTTTGATAACATTGTGTTTGGCGTTGTTTTAGAAGTTAACCATCGGAAATTGTGATCTTATTGTATTCAAAGACTTGGTTTGATTGATTGAATGCACAATTCCACGACAATGGAAGCGATTTTCGACGATGATTTGCAGGACAGCATGGAGGTCGGAGCACATTATCAAGTGAAAAATGTATATTGAAATGTAAAGCGGTAAAATAAAAAACAAGTGCATTATTGCATGTTATGTAGAAGAGTATGGAAACGTTAAATTGATCATTAGAGTAAAATGTATGTAGAGTATAAATAGTGGATTTGTTAGTGAAACATGCCCAAGATGTCACAGTGGACAAAATATCTTGGATAATGACGTCATCGTAATTGAAATAGCTACAGCTTAGTTTGGGTGAAACTTCACTATTTTT